CGCAAATTCACTTAAAAGGCCATTTTTTAGCGTGTTTTAAAAGACGACGCTTTTTTTAAAAAAAAATTTGTCATCTTTACATATAATAGACGACGGTTTTTTTTATAAAAAGCGTCATCTTTACATATAATAGATGACGTTTTTTATAAAAAGCGTCATCTTTACATACAATAGACGACGGTTTTTTATAAAAAGCATCATCTTTACGTACAATAGACGATGGTTTTTATAAAAAGCGTCATCTTTACATACAATAGACGACGGTTTTTATAAAAAGCGTCATCTTTACATACAATAGACGTTTTTTTCCGCTACACTCCTTGACCCTATATGAATACAATGACTGAATTTGATCTTCAATTTAAAATATTTACACTAGTGGATACCACAAAATCTTATGTTATATTTAACGAAAGTATAAATAAACTATTAATTGTTAGTGAATATTTTTTTTTATGGCATACGCATTTTAAGAAACTAGTTTCAACGATCCAACCGTCAAACTGGTTTGTTTATACTTCGAGATCATCTACACCAAAAATCGAAAAAAATAAACATTCAGAGATAAAGTAACGGGACAAAAATTTTGACAGTTATAAATGAAAAATCATGATTTAACGGTTATTTTAACTCCGATTTTGATGATTTTTTACCGCTACACTCCTTGACCCAATATGAATACAATGATTGAATTTGATCTTCAATTTAAAATATTTACACTAGTGGATACCACAAAATCTTATGTCATATTTAACGAAAGTATAAATAAACTCTTAATTGTTAGTGAATATATTGTTTTTATGGCATACGCATTCTAAGAAACTAGTTTCAATGATCCAACCGTCAAACGTGTTTGTTTATACTTCGAGATCATATACGCCAAAAATCGGAAAAAATAAACATTCAAAGATCAAGTAACGAGACAAAAAATTTTGACAGTTATAAATGAAAAATCATGATTTAACGGTTATTTTAACTCCGATTTTGATGATGATTTTGTACCGCTACACTCCTTGACCCAATATGAATACAATGATTGAATTTGATCTTCAATTTAAAATATTTACACTAGTGGATACCACAAAATCTTATGTCATATTTAATGAAAGTATAAATAAACTCTTAATTGTTAGTGAATATATTGTTTTGATGGCATACGCATTCTAAGAAACTAGTTTCAATGATCCAACCGTCAAACATGTTTGTTTATACTTCGAGATCATATACGCCAAAAATCGGAAAAAATAAACTTTTAGAGATCAAGTAACGAGACAAAAAATTTCGACGGTTATAAATGAAAAATCATGATTTAACGGTTATTTTAACTCCGATTTTGATGATTTTTTACCGCTACACTCCTTGACCCAATATGAATACAATGATTGAATTTGATCTTCAATTTAAAATATTTACACTAGTGGATACCACAAAATCTTATGTCATATTTAATGAAAGTATAAATAAACTCTTAATTGTTAGTGAATATATTGTTTTGATGGCATACGCATTCTAAGAAACTAGTTTCAATGATCCAACCGTCAAACATGTTTGTTTATACTTCGAGATCATATACGCCAAAAATCGGAAAAAATAAACATTTAGAGATCAAGAAAACGAGACAAAAAATTTCGACGGTTATAAATGAAAAATCATGATTTAACGGTTATTTTAACTCCGATTTTGATGGTTTTTTACCGCTACACTCCTTGACCCTATATGAATACAATGACTGAATTTGATCTTCAATTTAAAATATTTACACTAGTGGATACCACAAAATCTTATGTCATATTTAATGAAAGTATAAATAAACTCTTAATTGTTAGTGAATATATTGTTTTGATGGCATACGCATTCTAAGAAACTAGTTTCAACGATCCAACCATCAAACTTGTTTGTTTATACTTCGAGATCATCTACACCAAAAATCGAAAAAAATAAACATTCAGAGATAAAGTAACGGGACAAAAAAATTTGACAGTTATAAATGAAAAATCATGATTTAACGATTATTTTAACTCCGATTTTGATGATTTTTTACCGCTACACTCCTTGACCCAATATGAATACAATGATTGAATTTGATCTTCAATTTAAAATATTTACACTAGTGGATACCACAAAATCTTATGTCATATTTAATGAAAGTATAAATAAACTCTTAATTGTTAGTGAATATATTGTTTTGATGGCATACGCATTCTAAGAAACTAGTTTCAATGATCCAACCGTCAAACATGTTTGTTTATACTTCGAGATCATATACGCCAAAAATCGGAAAAAATAAACATTCAAAGATCAAGTAACGAGACAAAAAATTTTGACGGTTATAAATGAAAAATCATGATTTAACGGTTATTTTAACTCCGATTTTGATGATTTTGTACCGCTACACTCCTTGACCCAATATGAATACAATGATTGAATTTGATCTTCAATTTAAAATATTTACACTAGTGGATACCACAAAATCTTATGTCATATTTAATGAAAGTATAAATAAACTCTTAATTGTTAGTGAATATATTGTTTTGATGGCATACGCATTCTAAGAAACTAGTTTCAATGATCCAACCGTCAAACATGTTTTTTTATACTTCGAGATCATATACGCCAAAAATCGGAAAAAATAAACATTTAGAGATCAAGTAACGAGACAAAAAATTTCGACGGATCTTATGTCATATTTAATGAAAGTATAAATAAACTCTTAATTGTTAGTGAATATATTGTTTTGATGGCATACGCATTCTAAGAAACTAGTTTCAACGATCCAACCATCAAACTTGTTTGTTTATACTTCGAGATCATCTACACCAAAAATCGAAAAAAATAAACATTCAGAGATAAAGTAACGGGACAAAAAAATTTGACGGTTATAAATGAAAAATCATGATTTAACGATTATTTTAACTCCGATTTTGATGATTTTTTACCGCTACACTCCTTGACCCAATATGAATACAATGATTGAATTTGATCTTCAATTTAAAATATTTACACTAGTGGATACCACAAAATCTTATGTCATATTTAATGAAAGTATAAATAAACTCTTAATTGTTAGTGAATATATTGTTTTGATGGCATACGCATTCTAAGAAACTAGTTTCAATGATCCAACCGTCAAACATGTTTGTTTATACTTCGAGATCATATACGCCAAAAATCGGAAAAAATAAACATTTAGAGATCAAGTAACGAGACAAAAAATTTCGACGGTTATAAATGAAAAATCATGATTTAACGGTTATTTTAACTCCGATTTTGATGGTTTTTTACCGCTACACTCCTTGACCCTATATGAATACAATGACTGAATTTGATCTTCAATTTAAAATATTTACACTAGTGGATACCACAAAATCTTATGTCATATTTAATGAAAGTATAAATAAACTCTTAATTGTTAGTGAATATATTGTTTTGATGGCATACGCATTCTAAGAAACTAGTTTCAATGATCCAACCGTCAAACATGTTTGTTTATACTTCGAGATCATATACGCCAAAAATCGGAAAAAATAAACATTTAGAGATCAAGTAACGAGACAAAAAATTTCGACGGTTATAAATGAAAAATCATGATTTAACGGTTATTTTAACTCCGATTTTGATGGTTTTTTACCGCTACACTCCTTGACCCTATATGAATACAATGACTGAATTTGATCTTCAATTTAAAATATTTACACTAGTGGATACCACAAAATCTTATGTCATATTTAATGAAAGTATAAATAAACTCTTAATTGTTAGTGAATATATTGTTTTGATGGCATACGCATTCTAAGAAACTAGTTTCAACGATCCAACCATCAAACTTGTTTGTTTATACTTCGAGATCATCTACACCACAAATCGAAAAAATAAACATTTAGAGATAAAGTAACGGGACAAAAAATTTCGACGGTTATAAATGAAAAATCATGATTTAACGGTTATTATAACAAACCATCATCTTTACATATAATAGACGACCATTTTTTATAAAAAGCGTCATCTTTATATATAATAGACGACCCTTTTTTTTAAAAAAAATCGTCATCTTTACATATAATAGACGATGGTTTTATAAAAAGCGTCATCTTTACATATAATAGACGACGGTTTTTAAAAAAATCGTCATCTTTACACATAATAGACGACGGTTTTTATAAAAACTGTCATCTTTACATATAATAAACGACGGTTTGTAATAAAAATCGTCGTCTTTACATATAATAGACGACGGTTTTATAAAATCATCATCTTTACACATAATAAACGACGGTTTTTATAAAAATCGTCATCTTTACATATAATAGACGACTTTTTTTTAATAAAAAGCGTCATCTTTACATATAGTATGACGTATGACAACAAAATCAAAGAAATAAATTGATAAAAAAAATTCGTATTAAGACGACGGTTTAAATATAAGGTATGACGTATAAAGGGAATAAATACGACGTTAAATTTTATAATACGTCGTTAAATGAAAAACAAACGTGGTGAGATTTAAAGATACCGTCGTAGAACTATACGAGAAAGACGTCGATATATTTTTATTTTCCGTCGTTGTACATTAATTTAATACGGCGATATTTTGTATTTTACCGCCGTGGATTTATTTGTAATTATATGACGCCTTATACGAAAACTTGGTCGTGTTATTTTCTGCGTAAAAACGGCGGCTTTTTTTGAAATCGTCGTCTTTACTTTCTACGTCGGTCGATTCATAACTTCTGCTGTTCTTTATTTGCTTTGATTTTACACTGCGGAAATCTTGTTTCAAATAGACGTCGGTTTTTTAATTAGGTATGTCATTGTTTAAGAACAACCATTTGAATCTCCATTTTTTAGGTGTCTAAGGTGTTATTACACGGCGGTTTTATAGAACCGTCGTCTTTTAAAAAACAACGATGGTTTTCACTTAGACCGTCGTTTTTTTCTGGTCGTCTTTGTCACTTTTTGTAGTAGTGATTGAAAATGTTGGATTTCATTTAGTAAGGAATGAAATGATTGAGACATATAGCATTTGGAACCTTCACGGGAAACAATTAGACAATGCTTCGTCTTCAAATGCCACTTCAAATGCCACAAGAGTGGACAATGTTGAACCTATTGTGGATCCTAATGAACAAGTCATGGACATTATAAACGATGTTTTTCCATTTGCATCGACGAACATCAATCAGGAAGGGGAAGATGACGTGCCTACACCAATGGACCGTGCAGAGTTCGAACAATATGAGAAACTGTTAAAAAATGCCAACCAAGAGTTATACCCGGGGTGTGAGAGCTTTTCCGTTCTCACGGCATTGTGGAGCTAAAGCACGGAAAAATAAAATATCGTATGTCAAACTTGAGGATCCTAGCAGGTCAATCGATGTTTACTTAAGGCCGTTGGTTGATGAGCTTAAGGATTTATAGGCAAACGGTGTGCGCACGTACGATAAATCCACTGGGAAGATGTTCACTTTGCGGGCAGGAGTGATGTGGATTGTGAATGATCTTGCATATGCAATGGTTTCTGGTGGAGCACAAAGGGTTATATGGCATGCCCTGTATGCAAGGAAGATGTAACTTCTAGTTGGCATGCCGGAAAAGTTTGTTATCTTGGTCATCGGAGATGGTTGCCAAGGAACCACAAATGGCGGGAAAAAGATAAAGAGTTCGACGGGAACACAGAGCATCACCTCAGACCTAGAGAATGGTCTGGTGATGACATCTTGGAACAGCTTAACCGTTTGGATTTTGCTCCGTTCAGGAAAACAGTTAGTCGGACCAGACCTTCTACACATATGAACTGGATGCACAAGTCTATGTTCTTGGAGCTCCCATATTGGTCGAAACTAAAATTGAGGCACAATCTCGACGTTATGCATGTTGAGAAAAATGTGTTTGACACATTGATGGGTACGATTCTAGACATCGAGGGCAAGACAAAGGACACAATCAAAGCTCGTCTTGATTTGGAAAGAATGGGCATACGAAGAGGTTTATGGATGAACAGGGATGGTGATAGAGCTAGAAGGGATCTGGCATTTTTTTTCCATGAAACCGAATGACAAAAAAGATTTTCTAAAGTTTGCATCGTCGGTAAAGTTTCCCGATAGGTATGCTTCTAATATCGCGCGTTGCGTGAATGTTGACGAGGGTAAATTTACTGGACTTAAGAGCCATGACTGCCATGTGTTTATGCAACGCTTACTTCCTGTGGGTATTCGACACCTATTGCCGGAAGATGTAGTGAAGCCGATCATGTTGTTGTCCAGATTTTTTTCCCAACTGACGGCAAAAACATTGCAAAAGACGGACATGTTTCAGTTGGGCCATGACATTGTCCAAGTCCTATGCAAGTTTGAGATGATATTCCCTCCAGCTTTCTTCACAAGTATGATCCACGTGATGGTTCATTTGCCAGAAGAGGCATTACTTGCTGGTCCTGTCAACTATCGTTAGATGTATCCAATAGAAAGGTATATAATCCTCATCATTTGTTTATGCATCCTTATACAATAGAAAGGTATATAATCCTCATAATTTGTATCGTATCGTTTTATTTTCGCAGGCTGCTCGGAGAGCTGAAAAAAACTGTACGCAACAGGGCAAAGGCCGAAGGCCGAAGGGTCAATTATAGAGGCTTGGGTTCAATATGAGTCGCTTACTTTCTGTGGAATGTATTTACAAGATTTGGACACGGCTTTCAATCATCCTCAGCGCAATAATGACGAAGGTGTGAGAAATGAGAAACTTTCTGTTTTTGCCCAAAGGGCACGACCATTTGGAGATCCTGTACAAGGAGAGTCGTTTTCCATAAATGACATGGAGGTAGCACATTCATTCGTACTGAACAATTGTGATGAGATAATGGCATACATAGATGAGCATGAAGAGATGATGAAGCGAGAACATTCATCACATTTGTATGCCACGAAACACCGTGAATTGTTTCCACAATGGTTTTTGTAAACTGTAAGTTAAAAGTGTTTTGTATTTGAGATATATATTGTATTATTTAATGTTCTCAAACTAACATGTGAATGTTTTTGTATAATATTAGGTCAACAAGTTGAAATTATCGAATTCCCCCACTTACAGTGAAGAGTTATATAACTTGGCGTTCGGCCCGATTCGGCTGAATTGTTCTCGGGTTGCCATGTTAACGGCATCAAGTTTTTGGGGACTGCACGAGATGACAAGTTGTGTACGCAAAACAGCAGTGTCCATGTCCCAAGTGGAGGCGAACGTACAGACATTGATTTCTATGGCAAATTGACAACGGTCGTGCAATTGCTTTACAAAGACCGATACCAAGTGATTATGTTTAAGTGTCGATGGTTTGATACAAACCCAAATAGGCAGGGAAGTGTTAAAATCGACCATAGCTTAGTATCAGTGAACATTAACAGAACATGCAAACATAGCAAAACATAGCAAAACAGATTGTGTATCTACATGACCCTAAAGCCGGGAGCGGTTGGAAAGTTGTTCAGCAGATGGATCAGAGGAACGTGTATGCTATACCAGAACTAGACCCAACTGAGAACGACGTCCCTGACCAACGTTTGGAGTCTTCCATGGAAAATGATGCAGAAACACTTCGAGATACAAATGTTATACAAGAACCATTTCAAGTTCAAGGAGTGTCTTCAATCGAAATACCGATTCAGTCAATTACAATTGACCTCGGTGATCTTCCGCGATACGATGTTCCAGTGGGCCCGAACTACGAAAGTGATGAGGAGGAGGATTGGGAAACTGAAAGTGATGATAGCGACGATAATGAAGGTTATTATAGTTCAGATAATGAATAATGCAATTTATTAGTGACTACCCATGTAAAACATAGTAAATTAAATTTTGTGTATTTTAATTATGGTAGTGTAAAGATGGCAATCACAAATTAAAATCAAGTTGCACACAATTTGATTTTGAATTTTTTAATCACAAATTTAATCATATAATATATAGATTGAATCTAACTATTTGAATTGAAGTGGTATTTATGAATATAAGAATTAGGGTTTTCTCTTTTTGGAGTTGAAAATATTGAAATTGAAAGAATACAAAAATTGAAACATTCATTGCAAGTCATAAAGTTAATTAGAAATTTTTTTTTGTGTGTGTGTGTGTGTGTGTGTGTGTGTGTAATAGGAGAAAGTTCATTATTCTATTATTACATAAAGAAACCCCCCCCCCCCCCCCCTCTCTTTTATGTTGTTAAAAAATATGCCTATATGAAGAGACATCCTGTTTAGCTTTTCTGTTTCGGGCCTTTAGGCCTCATGTGCTCCACATAAAAAAAAGTTATACATATTTTGTTTTCGTGAAGAATTAAATGTTTATATGAAAAAAGAGAAAACAAGAGTTAAATTTTGAAGTTTAAATGTTTATTGTATCATTGAAGATTATCAAATAAAGTTTCTTTTTTATTTTTTTTGAAAAAAAGACAACTCAAGAGAAACTTTGAGGATATATATGTAGGACAAATGTGCTGTCATAAAAGTTGCAAACCCTCACAATTATAAAACAAGCGAAAATGTTTATCAAAATTCAAATTTTAATTTAGCTACAAATTCCCTTCCAATGAATGATGTACCACTATTTAATTTCTATTTTGTTCAATCAGATTATGAGTTTATATTTTTAAAGAAATAGAAGTTATTTTTTTATTTTTTTAAATTAACATCAGAGTAGGCTTGAAAAAAGAAAAGCAATACCAATGTTCCCCCCCATAATTAACATCAGAATAGGTTTGAAGTTTTTATAATGTTTTGTGCAATGAAGGGCTTTTTCCGTCGCGCAACATGTTCGCGCGACGAAGAAAGTTTCATTCGTCGCTAAAGAATTCACGAGCAAATATACCTTGTGCGACGAATGACTTTTTCGTCGCGCAACAATGCAAGAATAGATAATTATGACGTGAAAATAGAATCTTGCGCGACGAAACAATTTTGCGCGACGATAATTTTCCGCAGTCACGCAACATATATATGCGCTACGAATGTAGCCTTATTCGTCGCGCATACCAAGTATATAAATCTTTTTCATTTAAAGAACAAATATGATGAAATTATATTATTAGGACCCTAGAAGTGTGTCATTGGGTTAATTTACGTGTTAAAATATTACATTGTGATATAAATAAATACACATATTATAACGTGCGTAAATTAACTATTTAGGTTTAGTAAATTTGACATAGTCAAAGTCTAAAAAAGTAATCAATTTGCTCGACGTAGTGTAAAAATTAGAATTTCAAGCGTAATCTCGTCACAAGTGCCCTAGAGTAGGCTTATAGTTCAAGACTTGAGAATGGTGTTGGAACAAGTTTAGAAGTTAGAGTTTTTAATTTGAGACTTCAATTTTGGGTTTTGGAGGCTAAAATAAATTGTTGGAATAGTAAAACAGTTTTACAACATTTTTGCCTACTTCAAACAAGTTTCCAGGATTTTTAAATATTAGAAACTATTTTTAAAATACTTTTGAAAATTTAAAGTAGGTTTTCAAGTCCGTAAAAAATTAAATACTATTTATTCAGTCATTTCATAAATAAATTAAAAAATTTAAAAACAAATTCTTCACAAAATAAATAATACTAAAAACTAAATACTAATTACAGAAATTAAATAAGACTAATATATTTTAGTTGTACTAGAGGTTTGTGAGACGTAAATGGGCTTCTACGTCGCGCAAGTTGTCCACATTTTCCCGTTAGGGTTTAGGGTTTAGGGTATGAATTTATCATAATCTTGCGCGACGAAACATCATGTCGTCACGCAGAACTTATTTGCGCTACGCAATGAAAGTCCTTCGTCGCGCAAGATGTCGAAAATATTGGTGGTTTAGGGTTTAGGGTTTAGGTTCTGATAATCTTGCACGACGAAACGTCCTGTCGTCGCGCATAATATATTTGCGCTACGCAATGAAACTCATACGTCACACAAGTGTCATTAATTTTGAGGATTAAAATATTACCTTGCGCGACGCCATGATTCCACTGTCGCGCAACAGTTCATTGTGCGACGTATCTGAAGATTTCGTCCCGCAAGATGTCGAAAATATTGGCGGCCCTACGTTAAAAAAAATGTGCTTTTTTATTTTTGGTTACCCTCTCCGTAGCCAAACCCTTCAGGTCCCTTCTCAAACTTCGAATTCGAACCCTAGCTCAAACCCTCTTAGACTTCGAACCCTCGAACCCTAAACTTCGAATTTGAACCCTCGAACCCTCTCAGGCTTCAAACCCCGTTGAACCCTATCACCCTCTCACCCTCTCACCCTGTCAGACTTCGAACCCTCTCACCTCTCACCCTCTTAGACTTCGAACCCTCTCAGTTCCCTCCTTCGAACCTTCGAACCTTCAAACCCTCTCACACCCTTTGAGCTCTCTCATTCGAACCCTCTCAGACCTCTCTCATTCGATCCCTCTCTTGGGTTTGAACACAGAGCATCCGCCACCACCGGATTGTAGAAGCCCCACCGTCATGATTGGCGCCTGCGTCAGCAGTCTCGTGCTCTCCGCGTCTCCCTCGAAACCCTTTCTGGTAAAATTCCCAAATCTAGCCTCCGGTCTCGTTTTTCAATTCTGGATATTTAGACTGATTTCGTTGGGATTTATTGTTATGAGATTTTGATTTCTGCAATTTAGATTTATTTTTGATTTAGTTTCTGCAATTTAGTTGCAAATTTTGATTTTTTATTTATTAGATTTGGATTTAGATTTTTATGAGATTTTGTTAGCTCACAGATTTAGTTCAGTGAGTTCACAGATTTAGGCTTCTGCAATTTAGATTTCTGCAATTTTAATGTGACTGTTTTCTGCCAATTTGATTTGTGTGTGTTGAAGTACTTGTTTATTTTCTGTTGCAGGAGCATGTATTAGGATAACTTGTTTTCCTATTCTGACTAGGATTTAGTTTCATTTCCTGTTTAGTTTTTAATTTTGTTTGTCAATTACGGTTTCTTATTAAACTGGGAACTCATTCTTGGCTGGTTAATACATATGCTATTATTTAGATATGTAATATATATCTGCTTAGTCTGAAAGTTGGTTAGGATTTTTTGTGTTCTTCAATTAGTTCCTGCTTGTTCAGTTGTGCAGATGTTGAACCTAATTAGAAGTCGTAAGGCGGTGTCGGCTGCACAGAGTTCGCCTCCCCTATCGCAGCCATCAGCTGCCACAGCTCCAGCAGAGATGGACCACTTGCCAGTTGGTCCAAGGGTGTCTGATGCACCGGTGTCATCAGCGTCGTCAGTAGGGCAACCTGTTAGTGCCAAGCGTCGTCATCGCCCCAGCACCTCTGACACCATATCGACAGACGCTTCTGTTGGGTCAGGGTCACAACTCGGTAAAGATTTCCTTCACCTCTAGTTCATTTGGACCAATATTTTATAGTTGAATATGTTATTTATTTAACGTTCATTTCATATTTCTTTGCAGCGAAGAAGAACACTCGGGGGCCGTGTCGGCAGTTGAAGACAGCAAAGGTTACCCGGGTGACCAACAGTCGTATCAACATCGAATACGACGAGCGGCATCGGGCAGCTCTGACGGCGGGATTGCATAGCTCTTTGGCCCACGACATTGGTCATGTCGTTCGGACCCATTGCCCTATGCAATGGAAGTCTTGGAAGGTCATACCTGACGAGATCAAGATGGAGGTGCACGGACAGTTGTCGGTATATATCCTACATTTTATTTGTTTAACAAGTCAAATTTTATTTATTTATATTACTTAATGTCTGTAATGAATTTATTGCAGACGAACTACAATTTAGAGGACCTCAATGATGAGTCATTGGCGTATGTCAACAGACTTTTTGCTGAGAGGTACAAGCAGTGGAAGAGCGACTTGCACCACCATTTTCAAGCATTTGATGATCCGCAAGTCGCTCTTCAAGAGGGTTGCCCGAAGGAGCTTGAGGGGCGGGAGGATAGTTGGGTGTGGCTCTGCGCTCATTTTCTGGCGCTCGAATATGTGGTAATTTTTTTTTATATTAAGTTCAAACTCATTACATGTTTCTTACTAATGTTTATTTAATTTTTTCTATTTCATTTCAATTTTAACTAATACATTTATTTTTTGTGTAACAGAATAGGGCCACAGTAAATAAGGGCAATAGGAAGAAGAAGACTCTTCTCCACCATTCAAGTTCTACGCCCTTCTCGTATAAAACGGACGCACGACGACGGGTAATAATAAAATAATTTTATATCCAATTTTGAATATGTAATTAATATTAATTTCTATTTTTCATACTAACATTTTTCTTGCCTTGTTCAATTCCAAATTCCCGGAGAGCGACGTCTTTGGCGACGTTTATGTTCGACCTGGGAATGAGTTGGCCGAGTCCATTCATGTAAGTATTCTTTAATTTTAATTATTATCTACGCATTCAAGTTTCATGGTTATATGAATGTTTTAATTAATTTTAATATTTTATGTTTTAATTCTTTAATTTTAATTAAACAGACGACGATAGTGGAGAGGAGCCAGTTGGTTCTTCAGGAGTCTGCCTCCCAACTTTCTCCCGATACTCCGCTCGAGTCTATGCATTCTCCACAGGATGCGGGGTTTCAAATCTTGACGGAGACGTTGGATCAAACTCTCGGGAGGAGGCTTGGGACATATTGTCGAGGGATGGGGAATGCCCGGCGGCGGGAACCTATACCTCGTTCATCGTCGCAGTCAAACGAGGTGACTGCTTTGACAGCAACGGTGGCCAAGCTTAAGGGTCAGATGTCTATGATTCTAGAGTCCCTTGCTCAGTTCGGTATTCCAATCCCGCAGTTTGGTTCCTCCTCGACCTCCCACCCCTCCCCACCTGGCCACCAGACATTTGCCCCTGTCGACAATGCCCAGACGTCCGAGCTGCATCTCCCATACGACCACGTTGATTTTGGAACTTTATTCGATTAGTTTTTTATTTGTTATTACATTTTAACAATTTTTCTTGTAATTACATTTATATTATTTTATAACATTTCTTTTCTCTTCATTACATTTTTTGAAGGCAATTTTATTTTATTGAAAAAAAAACATAACCAAATTTTATTTTTTAACAAACTAAAAGAAACGGAAAATTAAATTTAAATAATAAAATATTTTTTTTTGCTCGACAAAAACCTTTTGGTCGCGCAAATTCACGTTTTTACAAAAAAACTTAAAACGAATTGAAAATATTTTTTTATTTTTGTGTGACGTAAAATTTCGTCTCGTTAAACAGATATGCGCGACGAAGAATTTTCTGTCGCGTGTTATGTGTCGTCTCGCAGTTGGTTGGGACACGCTATGCGTGACGGAAATATCCCGTCGCGCAAAGTTTGCGTAACGAACATAGCCTCATCGCCCAAACTATTGCGCGACGAAAATATCCCGTCGCGCAAAGTTTGTGTAACGAACATACTCTCGTCGCGCAACTGTTTGCGTGACCAAGATTTCTGTCGTCCTTGCAAATTTTCTGCAACGAAGGCTAATCGTCGCGCAAAGTCTTTCTTCACGATCTTTGCACGACGAACGCTGCGCGATGAATTTTCTGTCGTGCTTACATTTTTGTGACTAAAGTGCACTTTGCGCGACGGAAATTTCTTTGTCGCGCAAACTGTAAAATGTAATAGTGTATAGCAGGATGATGTGGGTTTATTTTCTAGAACAAAAGTCAGAAGCATTCTCCTTTTTCAAGCAATGTAAAGCCTATGGAGAGAAACAAAGTGGATATAATCTGAAGACGTTGAGAACTGATCGTGGTGGAGAGTTCACATCAAATGAATTTTCAGAATTTTGTAAAAGCAATGGAATAAAAAGAGAATTGACGGCAAGCTACACTCCATAGCAAAACGGTGTTGCGGAACGAAGAAATCGAACCATTGTGGAAATGGCAAGAAGCATGTTAAAAGCGAAAGGTCTGCCAAATGTGTTTTGGGCTGAAGCAATTCATACCTCGGTGTTTATTCTCAATAGGTCACCTACCAAGTCTATCAAGGATATGTCTCCTTTTGAAGCATGGCATGGGTTTAAGCCAAAGGTTGATTTCTTTAAGATCTTTGGTTGCATAGCCTATGCACATGTTCCTTCTCAAAAGAGAGAAAAGTTTGAAGAAAATGGTGAAAAATATATTTTTGTGAGTTATAGTGACAAGTCCAAGGCATACAGATTGATTGATCCAAGAACTAATAAGTTGGTAATTTCTAGAGATGTTATTTTTTATGAATTCAAGGTATGGAGATGGGAAAACAAACAAGGTGAAATACAGAGTTTTTTGTTGTTACCAGAAACATCAAATTTAGAAGAATATCTGCTAATCCAAAGTCCAATTTCAAGGGCAAGAAGTCCAATTCCAAGTGCAAGAACATCTTATCCTAGTTCACCAGATTCAACTCCTAGACTAAACGCAAGAACGCGTTCATTGGCCGACATATATGAGTCGTGTGATCTTGCTTTGAGTGCTTTGGAGCCTCAAAAATTTGAGGAAGCTGTGAAAAAAAAATTTGGCAAGACGCAATGGAAGAAGAAACTAGAGTTATCAAGAAAAATTCTACGTGGGAGCTTGTTGATCGGCCTAAATCAAAGGACATCATTGGACTTAAATGGATCTACAAGACAAAAATACAATGAAGATGGCTCAATCCAAAAGCATAAGGCTCGGCTGGTTGCCAAAGGCTACTCTCAACAACCTAGAATAGATTTCAATGAAATGTTTGCTCTGGTTGTACGAATGGAAACTATACGAATTGTGTTGGCTTTGGCAGCACAATTGAAAACTCAAAATTTTCAATTGGATGTCAAGTCCGCTTTTTTGAATGGAGAACTTGAAGAAGAAGTTTACGTGGAGCAGCTGCAAGGATATATTGAAAAGGGAAATGAAGACAAAGTTTGTCGACTTCGGAAAGCACTATACGGCTTAAAGCAAGCACCAAGAGCCTGAAATAGCAAAATTGATCAATATTTCCGTCAAAGTGGATTTGTAAGAAGTCCAAGTGAGCCATCACTCTATCTCAAGAAAGAAGGTACACACACTACTACATTTTATATTTTGCGCGACGAAATATTTTTTGTGTTTTAAAATTTTTTAATTAAAATAAACTAATTTAATATTTTGTCGCGCAAAGTTTTTTACTTTTTGTTTTATTATTTCTTTAATATTAATTTAATTATATTAATTTTTTCAAATTTTAAAATTTTAAAATTAATTTAAGGGAGTTTCACTAAAACACCCAAAATGGGGTTTGAAATTATAAAAAAACCCAAGCACTATTTAAACATATAAACACACCCAAAACATATAAACACACCCAAAACCCATCAATACACACACTCAAAACCCATTTATAAACACACCCAAAAAGTTGACTTTGGGGAAAAAAACCCAAACACTATTTAAACATATAAACACACCCAAAACCCATCAATACACACACTCAAAACCCATGTATAAACACACCCAAAAAGTTGACTTTGGGGTTGATTTTGGGTGTGTTTCTATGTTTAAATAGTGGTTGGGTTTTTTTATAAATACATGTCTAGGATTGGGTTTATTTATAAATTTGTATTAATTTAATTATATGATTTTTTTAATTACTTTAATTTAAATTGATATTAATTTTAATTATATTAATTTTTTCAAAATTTACTTTTTAAATTTAATTTAATTGTATGATTTTTTGTAATTACTTTAATTTAAATTGACATATTCAAAATAAAATTACATATGAAAAATAGTGATCAAATTATCCAATATATATATATATATATAATATTCAAAATGTACACATAAATTAACAAAGTACAATAATAAAATCCTAATACAAGCGTATTCCTAATCCTCAACTATAGCCGTCAAAGTCTCGATGATTCCAACAAAAAAAAAAAAAAAAATACAAAAAAAAAAAAAAAAAAAAAAAAAAAAATCTCCCCTAAAATTGTTATACCACAAATCCAACCCAAACTCCAATCCCTCCCCTTTACTCAACCCCAAACCCCACACAAACTCAAAACTAACTCCAAAAACACATATTAATGAAAAAAATTTAAAATTTGGAGAGAATATACCTTTTGGCAAGATTGAGAGTAAGTGAGAATGAGAGGGAGAAGTGAGTGTGAGAGAATTAGAGAAGATAGTGATAGAGTGAGTGAGAGTGAGAGTGAGAGATAGTGAAAAGAGAGATGATAGAGTAAGTGAGAGTGAGAGATAGTGACGAGAGAGATGAGAGATTAAGTGAGAGGGGTGAGTGTGAGAGAAATGGTGGGATTTGGGGAGATGGAAAGAGAGAGAGAGGAGAGGTAAGAGTAGAGAAAGAAATTGAGAAAATGGTGGAGGAGTTATTTTGGTTTTAAAAACCGTATCACTTTGCGTGACGAATATTGGAATATTGGTCGCTCAAAGTCTAAAAACAATTATTAAAAAAATATTCTAGCGTCACATTTTTGGTACCCGCCCAAATTTTTAAATTTTTGCGTGACGAAAAATACATATTGGTCGCGCAAAGTCTAAAAAAATTATATAAAAAAATTCCCGCGTCCCATTTTTGGTACCCTCCCAAATTTTTGCGCAACGAAAAATATATATTGGTCACACAAAGTTTTGAGCGACAAAAAATATTGATCGCGCAAAGTGTAAAAAAAATTATAAAAAAAAATAGTCCCGCATCCCATTTTTGGTACCCGCCCAAATTTTTAAATTTTTGCGCGACGAAAAATACATATTGGTCGCGCAAAGTCTAAAAAAATTATATAAAAAAATTTCTGGCGTCCCATTTTTGGTACCCACCCAAACTTTTGCAAGACGAAAAATATATATTAGTCGCGCAAGGTTTTGAGCGACAAAAAATATTGGTCGCGCAAAGTCTAAATTTTATTTATTTTTTTAAATCCCGCGTTCCATTTTTTGTACCCGCCCAAATTTTTAAAGTTTTGCGCTATGAACTATTGGTCGCGCAAACTTTTGAAAGACAAAAAATTGGTTTGTAGCACAATATTTATAAAAATAATTGTTATGAATAATAAAAAATAAAATTATTTTATTTTACGATTTAAGATATAAATAAGGTTAAAGCTACTTAATAAATATATATACTATTCAATTTCTTAAGTGTTATACGTACAAAATAAATAAATTTAAAGCTACTTAATAAATAAATATATATACACACACCATTCAACGATCCAACCGTCAAACTTGTTTGTATATAGTTCAAGATCGTATACCCCAAAAATCGCAAAAAACAAATATTCAGAGATCTAGTAGCGGAACAAAACTTTTCGATGGTTATAAATGAAAAATCACAATTTAACGATTATTTTAACTCCGATTTTGATGATTTTTTTACAGCTACACTCATTGACCCTATATGAATACAATGATTGAATTTGATCTTCAATTTAAAATCTTTACACTAGTGGATACCACAAAATCTTATGTTATATTTAACGAAAGTATAAATAAACTCTTAATTGTTAGTGAATATATTATTTTGATGGGATACACATTCTACGAAACTAGTTTCAACGATCCAACCATCAAACTTGTTTGTTTATACTTCGAGATCATATACACCAACAATTGGAAAAAATAAACATTCAGAGATCAAGTAACAGGACAAAACTTTTTAATGGTTATAAATGAAAAATCATGATTTAACGGTTATTTTAACTCCGATTTTGATGATTTTTTTTACAGCTACACTCCTTCACCCTATATGAATACAATAACTGAATTTGATCTTCAATTTAAAATATTTACACTAGTGGATACCACAAAATCTTATGTTATATTTAACGAAAGTATAAATAAACTCTTAATTGTTAGTGAATATATTGTTTTGATGGCATACGCATTCTACGAAACTAGTTTCAACAATCCAACCGTCAAACTTGTTTGTTTATACTTCGAGATCTTATACGCCAAAAAACGGAAAAGATAAACATTCAGAGATCAAGTTATGGGACAAAACTTTTCGACGGTTATAAATGAAAAATCACGATTTAGCTGTTATTTTAACTGCGATTTTGATGATTTTTTTATAGCTACACTCCTTGACCCTATATGAATACAATGAACTAATTCGATCGTCAATTTACAATATATATTTTCTAACAAACAATCCGAACAACAATAATATATTTTTCTAACAAAAATCTAATCCGATCTAAAATAATAAATTTAAAGCTGCTTAATAAATATATATATCATTTAATTTCTTAAGTGTTATGCATACAAAATTAAAAACAAAACGAAATTGGTTTAGGTGACGAAATGTTTGGATTACGCCATGCAAAGATTTTAAAAAATAAATTTTTTATTTTATTTATTTTTATAAGGACTTCGCATGACGAAGTTTATTGTTTTGTCGAGCAAAGTCACTTTGAGCGACGATGTATTGTCGTCGTGTAAAGTCACTTTGCGTGACGAATTGTTTTTCGTCGCGCAAAATTTGGTCACGCAAGACTTTGGTGATGATGTATTGTCATCGCGCCAAAGTTTGTCGCGCGAAGTGACTTTGCATGACAAATTTTTTTTTGTCGCGCAAGACTTTGAGCAACAAAGTTTTGAGTTTCGTCATGCAAAGTGACTTTGAGCGACGAATAGTTTTTCGTCGCGTAAAATTTGGTCGCGCAAGGGTTTTTTTTTACTAGTGACATAGATTTTCTTATTGTGTGTCTTTATGTTGATGACTTGATTTATACAAGTACCAAACCAAGGATGGTAGAAGCATTCAAGAAGGACATGATGAAAGAATATGAGATGACTGATTTGGGTTCTATGAAGTATTTTCTAGGAATTCAAGTCCAACAATCGGAAAAAGGGATTTTTATGTATCAAAAGTATGCAGAAAATCTCTTGAAAAGGTTAAATATGTTGAATTGCAAGCCAATGGATACTCCAATGGCAATTAATTTAAAGCTTTCAAGTAATGATGGAGCACCAAGAGCTTATGCTTCTATGTATAGAAGTATTGTTGGCTCACTTATTTATTTATCTAATACAAGGCCAGACATAGTTCATGCAGTTAGTGTTGTATCTCGATTCATGAATGATCCAAATAATCATCATTTTGCTGCTGTTAAAAGAATACTAAGATATGTGCAAGGAACCAAAGGATATGACATCAAATACACACAAGAGAAAGAAAGCATTTTAGTTGGGTTCACAGACAATGATTGGGCTGCTGCAATTGATGATAGAAGAAGCACATATGGGCATGTGTTTTTCTTGGGAAGTAGAGTTATATCATGGTCATTGAAGAAGCAAAGTATAGTGGCATTATCAACAGCCGAAGCAGAATATATTTCAGCTACAAGTACAACAAGTGAAGCAGTTTGGGATTAGAAGAATATTGGCAGATCTTCATCAAGAACAAAACACTCCAACAAATTTTTATTTTGATAACATGTCCACAATTGCCATGACAAAGAACCCAGTCTTTCATAGCAGATCAAAGCACATAGAACTTCGTCATCATTTTATCAGAAAATTGGTTGAAGATGGAGAGATTGAATTGAAATTTTGTGGTACTGATGAGCAAATTGCAAATGTTTTTACAAAAGCACTTCCAAGAGAGAAGTTCTATACTTCAGAGAAAAGCTAAATGTCGCAGGACAAATGCATTAAGAGGGAGTGTTAAACGTAATGCATTTTCTCCTTGTAAGATGTATCAGTTATTAGAGTTGTGTCTCTTGAGAAGAGCTATGTTTAGGAAGAGTTGTATCTCATTAGAAGTCTAGAGTTGTGTCTGCAACTCTTGGAACTAATCCAAGAGTTATGTTTGTTATGAAAAGATTTGAATGTAATTATAAATAGCCAATAAGATGGCCTAGTGTTGTAATCAATTTTAGGAAATCAATAAAGCTTCAGTTTTTCTGTTTAAAACTCTCTTCCAAATTCGCTCATATCCATCTTTCTCCAACAGGTTCATGTGTGTTTAAACCTGATGGTTTTCGTTTAACAATTTTGATTTGGTTTGAGGAGATTAGGAGAGAAATTTCATTGATCCCTAAGATATCATAAGTACCCAAGTGCCCAAAGCAAGCCATAAACTCTTTTGACTCCATGGCCAACCAAAAAATAAGGTCCAAGTTAATGTATTTGAATATTGTCATCATTACATTTACCAACCAGTAAACCATTTACGTACCGGCCAGTGAACCAGTCTTCATTTACCCCTGAAAACTCCTTACCCCGACACTCTCCTACTCAAAGTCCAAAGATTCACACCACCCTTTCACACTCTCCTCACGCAAAAAGGGCAAATAGGCCGGCGATGCGTGGGACCCTATTTTATTTGGGGTGCAGTGTTTGATTTTCAGGATCTAGTGGACCTTTTTCTTTTTCTTTTTTTAACTGAATTTTTATTTCTTGTTTTTTATTCGGCATATTATTTTGACGTTTTAATTTCTGTTTAGGTTAGTTACCACGCGGGTACTGTATGAGATATTTCTTAGAATGAACAAGAATTCTTTGCAGAGATTCTTAACTGTTATTTTCATGCCACGAATGCATAACAATAATTACGATAAGGCTTAGCTGGACCTGAAGTCTAGTACAATATTAAAAAAGAAAAAAGGCCTACTTGATCCTGAAAATTACTGCACCCACCCAACCCAAACGAAAATGGGGTCGCACACACCGGCCTATTTTGCTTTTTTCGTGAGGGGAGTGTGAAAGGGTGGTGTGAACCTTTGGACTTTGACTAGGAGAGAGATCATGGTGCATTCAGACTGTTAAAAGTATTGTCCTGCATTGAAAAGTTATGTATGTTTATAAGGAGTTGGGATACTTTTCTCAAATCAATTGGCTTCGTGGTGAAATCTCAACTTTCCTTCATGGTACGGTCTGAAAGCATACTATCCACCACGTGTTGGGGACAATGGCCACACATGCTCTGCCAATTGGTTGCTTTATTATCTTTCTATCTTCACTTTCGACAAGCATTATTTTGCAGATAAAATGAATTGGAAACCTGGAAGATATATTTAACAAATTGTAGAAATATTTGCTCAACAAGGCACAGTAGGCTCTCTGAAGCAGAGTAAGCCATCGGATTTTTGGAGTATTGGTAAAAACAAAATGAAAAAGCAGAAGCCAACGAGGCATAAAAATCATTAGTAATCCCTTTTTTTTTTTTATTGAAAGAGGAGGTAGGATTGGAGAAGTGTGAAAGAGAATCAATTTCATGCCATAATTACCCTGATATTTATTCTGATAATACAAAAACACTGTTCACAAATCTCAGCCAGCAAAAACACGAAGCACATCAACTCTCCCACTCTCTCATCTTCTTCCAGCATACCAGCTTCCCCCACTCTCTCATATTCTACTAGTCGACCACCTCCCCCACCATATAGCCTTACTATAGTTTTATAATTAATTTTTATTTTAATACATATTAGTATAGAAAATACTTTTACAGAATATTAAGGTCGCCAGGCTTTACTTTTATTAATAAGGAGTGAAATAATTTTTCCATTTGAAAAGTTGTACACAGCTCAAAGTTTGTAGGCGATTGATATTTGATTGATTGTTGAATATGTGTTTTTCCGTGTACTCATAGGTTTAGGACTAATTGTTTACTAGTCATACTTCTGCTAGGATTACTTGCTCATTGTGATTATAGATCTGTCCTACTAGGGTTTTAATTTTTGTTGGCGCGTGAGTCAACAATTCCCATTAGGAATAGATTTTTGTTGGCGCTGCACTGTATCCCTAGACCTCTTAACCCTATTTCCGCCCCCTACCCTCCTAGCCACACCTTACTCCACCGTTGTGCCTGCCTCCGCATCCTCCTCCATCACCGCCACAGTTGCTTGTCACCATGCTTGACGTCAACGACTTCATCCTATCATCTGTTTCTACTTCTACTAGTGCTCCTCCTACCCCTATCGTGATGGTTCATACTGAATCATCCACCCATTTACTTTTGGGATTCAAATTTAATGGATCCAACTATGAGATGGGCTTCGATGATCGAACTTCATGCTACTATGCAAGGCAAATTGGGTTACCTCATTGGTGACACCACTGCCCTTGATTCCAAAGACCCACAATTTGGAAAGTGAAAAATTGATGATGCTACTGTGAAAAGTTAGATGATGTGAACTATAGAACCTAGTTTGTTAAATATGTTTCATTCCTTACCTACTGCCAAGGCTGTTTGGGGTGCGGCTAATCAGATGTTTTATGATGGCTATGACATATCCTAGCTCTATATGAGTTGCGGTGCAAGGCTACCGGTATCACGCAAGGAGGTTGCCATGCCTCCACCTATTTTGCTGGACATAATTGGATATATCTAACTAAAATGGACATGGGTCCAATCCTTGTTTGGTGGGCTTAAGTGGATCATGGACCGGTTAGGATTCAATTATTTTTTAGGATAACAGTCCAGCATACGCTGGCTTTCAAAACCCACGCTAAGACATGGGTTTCAAAGACTAACCCGGAAACTAGCTATCGTCTTCTCTTCTCTTGCGTCGTCTCCCTCAGCAAGTTCCGCATCATCTCCCTCAGAATGCTTCGCGTTGTCTCCCTCAGCCTGCTTTGAAGTGCTTTGTTCTCTTTTGTCCTCTCCCCTCTCTCATCTCTCCTCTCTCTTCTGATTATATATATATATATATAAACTGATTTCTCTATTCTGAATTACTTGGCTCTCTCTCAAAAGAAAAATCTCGATTTATTGCTAAATATTAAATGGTTTGATGATGGTTATCTATATTTTTTCTAGGTTAGATGTTGAGTGATGTGGTTTTTTTGGGTTTGATTTCTCTTGTTAAAAAAATCATTCATATCTATGTTTCCTTTCCAATATTAAAGCGCTTTTCATTGAAGATCTTTTAAATCTAATTTCCGTTCCAAGATTTCCATCTTCCTTTTTATTTTTATTTATTTAATGTTGTTTTGAGTTTGTATTTTCTTAGATGTGGAAGTACTATATTTTTTTTCCTTCTATTTCAAATTACCATTTTCTTTGGATAACTACAATCTTTTTTCTCTTGTAATAATCTCATTTTTTTATATAACTATTGTATAATAAAAAAGAGAGATTTTCTTCTTATAAGAAGAGAATGACCTTTTTTCTTTTTCTTGAAAAAAAAAGAGAAGATGATGAATCTATATATATAAAGCAGAAGGCAGAGAATGGTAAAACACTCAAAATACCAGAAAATGACCATAGTTAACGCAAACATTAAGAATTGAAATTATTAATTAAATGAGGATAATATGGTAAATTCACACTTTTTCATATTTAAAAAATTAAAATTAAAAGAAAATTCAGATAATGGATCCTATTTTATGAAACACAACTACCCATTATCTTTTTTAATTCTAAAATAAATTTAAAAGTTAAAAAAAAAAAAACCTCTCGCAGTCTCTGAAGCGCTTGCGGAGAGGCTAGTTTTATATATGATGAAGAAAGATACTTAAAAAAAAAAGAAAAAAAAAAAGGAAAGATACTGAAGAAAAAAAAACTGAAACAAGAGAATTTTTTAAAATACAAAATTTTCCAGTCCAATCCCAAAAAAGAATGGCATCAAACAATGGCTAGGATTAAAAGTTTGGTCCAGTCCATAATATGAAGCCTAATTCAGTTGGTCCTATACGGCTCACCAAACGAGGCCTTAATGGATAAGCTATATCAAGCCCATGGAAAATAATAAGAAGAATATGTTTTCTCATTATGTTTTGTTTACAAGATTACACAGGTATATATGTATAAGCTGAGGATGGCTAATATCCACTGGCCAGGTTAAGAACCATTGGCTAGTCTAAGAGCTGTTGGCCAACACACCACAACCTTAACTTTAACCCCAAATTATAGGCAAACTCTAATTACAACTAACAAGATCAAATACCCTAAATTAAGGATGTGTAAATCAATCACAGCTAGCAACCACCAAACTAATCACAGCTATCAGCTACCAATACTTCCAATACTCCCCCTCAATCTAGATCAAGGGGATTAATTGATCCAAGCTTGGAGAGCAAGCGTTGAAACTGAGTGGAAGCAAGAGACTTGGTGAAAATGTTAGCAAGTTGATCATGGCTCCGAGTGAATGTGGTTTGAATTACCTTGGACTGAACTTGTTCACGAACATAGTGACAGTCAACTTCAATGTGTTTAGTGCATTCATGGAACATGGGATTGGAGACATATATGGCAATGGCTGTCCTAATTAAAACAACAAAAAAAAAAAAAAAAAAAAAAAACATAGGTTTGTTGCTCAAAAAACCCAAGTCTAAGATAAGGCCCTTAAGGCAAATGAGTTCACATGTAGTGAAGCTATGGCTCTATACTCAGTTTCGGCACTTGAGCGAGCAATTACATTTTGCTTTTTGCTCTTCCATGTCATGATGTTTCCCTACCCAGTTAGCATCGATGCAGTAGCCAGTCGTGTATTTTCTATCAATAGCATTCCCTACCCAGTTAGCATCGGTGTATGCCATGATTTGAGTATGAGCATTGTTCTTCATGATAATTCCCTAGTCAATGGAGCCCTTGAGGTATCTTAGAATCCTTTTAACAAGATTTAAATGAGCCTCAGTGGGTGCATGTATGAATTGGCTTACAAGACTGATGGCGTAAGTTATATCCGATGTAGTAATGGTGAGATATATAAGCTTACACTACTACAAAAAGTGAAAAAGATGACCAGAAAAACACGACGGTCTACGTGAAAACCGTCGTTGTTTTTTAAAAGACGACGGTTTTATAAAACCGCCGTGTAATAACACATTAGACAACTAAAAAATGGAGTTTCAAATGGTTGTTCCAAAACACGACGTACTTAATTAAAAAACCGACGTCTTATTGAAATAGGATTTTCAAGAGGTAAAATCATAGACAACAAATAACGGCGGAAGTTATGAACCGACCGACGTAGAAAGTAAAGACGACGGTTTCACAAAAAGCCGTCGTTTTTACCCAGAAATTAACACGACCAAGTTTTCGTATAAGGCGACGTATAATTACAAATAAATCCACGGCGGTAAAATACAAAATACCGCCGTATTAAATTAATGTACAACTACGGCAAAGGTAAATATAACGACGTCTTTCTCGTATTTCTACGACGACATCTTTAAATCTTACCAAGTTGGGGTTTTCATATAACGACGTATTATAAAATTTAACGTCGTATTTGTCCACTTTATACGTCATAAATTATATTTAAACCGTCGTCTGAATAAGAATTTTTTTTAACAATTTATTTCTTCGATTTTGTTATCCTACGTCGGTAGATCTACCTAACGACAAGAATTGAAATAACCACGACGGTTTATATAGAAAACCGCCGACATAATCAGATTATTCTGAGATCACAAGGGTTAGGAAATCTTACAAGATGGAACTCTGTTGCTCATCATAATCTTACCAGAAAGACAATATTTTAGAGGTTAATGATGTATGTGTATTTGTGTCTTTGAGATACACAAACGCACATACACATTAACATCCAAAAAATTGCTTCTGAAATTTGACGACGGCAGCCTCAGATTTGCAATCAGAGAGACAATTTTTTGGAAGTTGATGATATGTGTGCGTTTGTGTATCTACACAAACGCACGCACACATCAACATCCAAACAATTGCCTCCTAAAATTTCACGACGGCAGCCACAGATTTGCAATCAGAGAGACAATTTTTTGGAAGTGAATGATGTATGTGCGTTTGTGTATCTACACAAACGCACATACACATTCACATCCAAACAATTGCCTCCTAAAACTTCACGACGGCAGCCACAGATTTGCAATCAGAGAGACAATTTATTGAAAATTGGTGATTTGCAATCAGCCACAGATAATCAACATTCAAACAATTGCCTCCCAAGAGATGAGGTGAGACAGAGAAAGGGGCAAGAAGAAGTTGAAACCCTAATCGAATACTAAAACTGAAAGAACCCGTGGAAAAAAAAACCCTATTTATAATTAAAAAACCAAATCCACGTCGGTTATATTACACATAACGACGTTTAACAAAAACAATCCTCGTCGGTAACAAATACATTACGTCGTTTTATTCTTACTTAAGACGACAATAAACGACGACGGTATAACAAAAACAGTCGTTGTTTTATATTTTTATTTGATTTAAATCAGTCACCTAGAAAAGAAACTTTACAAATTCTAGAACATTAATTTCCTCGGGAAAAAAAAACTATATCTATAAGGCACTGTTTTTGAAAAATAAACTATAAGAAAAAGGGGAAAAAAATTATATTTATAATAAAAAAAATAAAATCCACGTCGGTTATATTACACATAACGACGTTTAAAAACGAATCCACGTCGTGGAAAAAATAATACGTCGTTTTAGTTTAGTGTTATCCACGTCGGTATATTACAATAAAACGACGTATATTATGAAAATAAACGTCGTAAATTTAAAACAACCGTCGTGTTAAATATTTCTACCATGACGCGAGATATTGAGTTATCGACTTTTATTTAGGAGTTTACTACGGCGGTACCTACAACACCACTGTCGTATTTATGTACCACGTCATAAGTTCAAATTAGCGTCGTAGTTTGTCTATTAATACGTCGTCGTTCTATGTAAACCGCCGTCTTATTATTATGAAACGGTTTGTATACATATACAACTTTTCGTCTACCTGACTTACACATGCACTGTTTCCAAACCCGAGAAAACATTTCAATCTCCCAGAGAAAACTTTTCGTCTTTTTTCCTTGTCAGAGCACTGTCAGAGTATCTCATCGTCTTCCTCTTGTCTTCTTCGTCGCCTCTGAACTTAAACACCAAAATCCGAGAGAAAGCTTTCATTGCACGCAAAAGGTAAGCTTTCATTTCTCACTATTTTTGTTGCTATTTTGCATGCTCATACTGTTTTTGTTTTGAAAATCTTTTTACCTTTTTTCTGGCGAAAATCATTTTTATTCTTTCCAAGTTTGATAAAATACACAGACAGAGAGGGAAAGTTTCAACTTTGAACATAACTAATTCAACTAAATAAGACGACGGTAGCTTTTTATTTACGTGGTTAAATATGTAGACCACGACGGTTCATCAGTCGTCCTAGCGTCGTCTTAAAATTGATCTAAGTTGTTTTTAAAATGACGGTCAATTTTTTATTTGCTTGTTTAGTTGCAGGTTCGATTTCTCTGAACCATGGTTTTCGTTTTTCCTAATTTGATAAAATACAGAGACAAAGAAAGTAGGGTTTGGTATCTTATATAGACGACGGTATCTTATTATTGACGCCGTGTGAATGTTCATACCACGACGTTATACTAAGATACCGTCGTCTATAAAAAGATGCCAAAGCTTTTTTCTTTGTATTTTATCAAATTAGGAAAAACAAAAACCATGTTTCAGAGAAATTAAACCTGCAATCAAACATTCACAAAGAAAGAAAAATGTTTTTGGTTTCTTATAAATACGACGGTAGCTTATTATTCACGTCGTGTGAATATCCATAACACGACGTTATATTAATATTATTCACGTCGTGTAAATATCGCCGTAATAAGTTCTTATTACGTCTTATTTAATATTGTTTCGTCGTTGTTTAAACATTTATATTGTTCTTCTTTAAACATTTATTACGTCTGATGTTATGTTATTACGTCGTGTAAAATCTTATCATACGTCGTAGTTTATAAATAACCGTCGTTTGTGTTCTAAGTTTTTTCACGAAATATTTTCACTTGCAGGTTTGTTTATTCTGTAACCATGGTTTCTCAAGACCAAAGTAAGTACTCTGGCTCCAAAAAAAATGGAGGTAAGGAGCTTGGAATGGTAACTCCTCAAGACAAGCCCTTGAAGAAGATGAAGTTTGTTTCATCTGCTGAGAAAGAACCAAGCAGCACGACAACAATTTCTGAGGATTCAAAGTCAGGTCGAGGTATGAGCACAATGCCTCGTGTTGTGAAGAGAAAATTGCAGAAAATCAAGCCAGTTGTTGAGTACAATAAAGGGGGAAAGGATGTGGCCCTGCACATACTGAGATGCAGTCCTACATTGGTGTGTTGGCACGCTCCAGAGTCCCACTTGTGGACAAGAAATGGGCTGAAATCCCCAATGATATAAAGGAGCAGATTTGGGAAGCCGTTGACATGGCTTTTGTGGTAGGTCAAGGGGGCAAGACCTCGGTGTTATCTTCTGCTGCCAAGAAATGGAAGGATTTCAAGTCTACACTGACGAGGCATTATATCCTTCCATACATCAAGGAGAGGGAGAAATTAAGCCAACCCCCTGAAGTATATAAATTCATAGAGAAAGCAGAATGGGATGCCTTTGTAGCTTCAAGGTTATCCAAAGAATTTGAGTCTGTGCATTCTCAACATGCACAGATTAGGGAGAAACTTGAGTACAATCATCGATTGTCTCGAAAAGGATATGCTGGTTTGGAGGATCAATTGGAGGAAACCATGCCTGGGGTAGAAATTGATCGATCTACCTTATGGAAGAAAGCTAGACAGGACAAACATGGTAACATCCCGGATCCAAAGGTGGCAGAGAAAGCAAAATTAATTGTAAGCCTACACACTCTGTTTTAAATTTTTATTAAACTGGGTAGAATTCTTATTACGTCTTATGTTATATTTTTCCGTCGTGTGAATGATTTTACTACGTCGAAATATTTTAAAAAACGTCGTGAAAGATCTAAATCTGGAATCACAACTCTGTTTTCTGTAATTATAGCATAAGACGTCGGTGGTTAATTTTTTCCGTCGTGTTTAATGTTATTACTACGTCGAAATGTTTTCAAAAACGTCGTGAAAGATCTAAATCTGGAATCACAACTCTGTTTTCTGTAATTACAGCATAAGACGTCGGTGGTTTATTTATTGCGTCGTTTTAAACAACTAACCACGTCGGTTTTAATTAACGTCGTTATAAATATATTATAACGTCGATTTCTATATTGGTGCGTCGTGTGAAATTATATAATGCGTCGTTTGTTTATAAATAACCGTCGTGTATTTTCTTGTGCTGACTTTTTTTATGTCTTTGTTTTAGGATGAATTGCAAAAACAAGTGGCTGAAGGCAGTCTGAGTATAACTGGCAGTAATGATGTGTTGACCTTGGCTTTGGGTCCCGAGCATCCAGGGAGAGTAAGAGGGGTAGGTGCTGGGATTTCCCCTAGGCAATTCTTCAATTTACCTAGACCACAAAGGGTAAAGTTTGCTGATCAATTGAAGGAAAGTGTAAGAATTGTCCTTCAAGAAGAGACTAAGAAGATGGAAGCTAGAACCAAACAATTAGTAGAGGCTGAGAGGGAACATTTACTAAGTCAGCTTTCCCACCTCATCCCCAATTTTGATCCAAGCATGCTTAAACCGAAAACTAGCCCCTGTCAAAACCAAGGTCTACAGCAAAGTCCCAAGAATCCAATGTCTGATAAAGCAAGCTGTTCTGGGGCTGAAGTGAGATCCTACATTTAGAGGATGATACTGCCAGAAATGGGGAACAGCAGGAACAAACGGTAACATATCTGAACTTTGAATTCTCTGTTTTTTTTTAAACATTAGACGTCGTTATTATGAATAAACCCGTCGTTTTAAAACCATACCACGACGATTTTATAAATACCCCGTCGTGTTTATTTAAATACCACGTCGTATTTAGTTTACTTGTTTTACACGCCATTAGACGTCGTACTTTGTGGCTTTTAGACGACGGTTTTTGTCCTTAACGACGTAATATAAAATTACCACGACGTTTTATTATTTACCATCGTTTAATAATTTTAAGACGTCCATAATTCTTACATACCGTCTTATGTTATGCCTTACCACGACGTTTTGGTTTTATTTTTTTACTCTGTACAATCTGTCTTATATATATATTTCTTTATTATTTAAAACAGAAATCTGGGGCTTTAGATAATCAAGATGAAGAGAAGAAAGAAGAAAATAAAGATGAACAGAAGATGGGAGAAAAAAAAGATGAAGGGAAGAAGGAAGAAAAAAAAGAGAATAAAGATGAAGGCAAAGAGGAAGACACAAATGTTGAAGAGAAGAAAGAAGAAAAACAAGATGAAGAAAAGCATGACGAGGAGGTATATTCTCATAACTTTGCCTTTTTAATTTGTTTTTCACATTTCAGACGTCGATATTTTTCTTTAAACCGTCGTTTGTTTTCACATTAGACGTCGGAATTTATTTTCTACGACGTAATAAATATATAAAACGACGGTATTTAATTACCGTCGTTTAAATTATAATCAGACGACGTTTTTTAATTTAAACCGTCGTTTTTAATGAATTACCACGTCATTTTATTTTGCTTTATTTCTTTAAACAGGGTAATGAAGTAGTTGATTATTCAAATGTGGAGGTGCCATCTTCCTTACAATCCCTTTGTGGTTATGTGGAAACTACACTAAAGCCACAGGGGAAGATCATGACCTTCAACATTGAGAAGGAGGTGTTTGGTGCAGATCGAAGTACCTTCGTCTTGCATGAAGATATTACACAGTTTGCAGGCATGGAAGAAATTGGGGCTACTGTGGTTGCAGTATATATGAGGTTTGTCCTAATCAAATATCAAACATTATATCATAAGACGTCGGTTGTTTAATTATTGCGTCGTTTTAAACCACTAACCACGTCGTTCTTTTTTACCGTCGTGATAAATTAGTTATCACGTCTGTTTCTATTTCAGTTCGTCGTGTGAAATTGTATAATACGTCGTTTGTGTATAAATAACCGTCGTTTGTTTTATATATTTAGGTGCTTATATGATCTTTTGAGAGAAGCAAATATGTGCAGCATGGTTGGCTTTATCGACCCTGCTCAAGTTAGTGCCAACGCTGGGTCACTAACTGACAGATCACGAATTGTAGCCAGTCGACTTCAGAAAACAGATGGTGAACAGATTTTCATGATGCCTTACAATCCAGGGTTAGTCTCCTTAAAAGGATTTTGTTTGTATGATTTTCACTTATAAAACTGTTTAACTAATTCTGTGTCGTTTGAAACATCTAACCACGTCGGTTATTTATTTATTGAGTCGTTTGAAACAACTAACCACGTCGGTAGTTAATTATCGTCGTGATAAATTTATAATGACGTCGATGATTAAGTTATTACGTCGTGTGAAACTATATAATACGTCGGTTTTTATAAATAACCGTCGTTTTTTATTTTATTTTTGTGCAGCCGTCATTGGGTCTTGCTGATTGTGAGGGCAAAGAGGGAAACCGTCTATTTTCTGGATCCTCTGCCTGGAAATCGTGTGGTTGATGAGGAGGGCAAAAACATCGTGAACAGTGCTTTAAAAATTTATAATTCCCACATAGGCAGACCAGGCCGTAAAGCACCAATTTGGAAAACTCTGCCAGGCACACCAAAGCAACCCAGCAGTGTCGAATGCGGGTATTATGTGATGCGCTTCATGAGGGACATCATCATGGATCCTTCCTTGGAGTTTGAGAAGAAGGTAAGAATAAAATTTTCAGAAACATTTTATGTGGTTTTTTGTATTATCAACGACGGTCATTTAAAATTACCGTCGTTGAATCGATAGACTACGTCGGTTATGAAAAAAAACGTCGTCTGTGTCTGAATTTCTTTTTATTTTGTAAAGCTTAATAATCATTGTTTATGGATTGCAGTTTGCCAAGGGAAAAGATCAAGCGCCATACCCCCAAGCAGCCATTGATGAAGTCAGGAAAGAATGGGCAGAGTTTGTTTGCCTTCATATGGATTAGAGGATTTTTGGAACACTTGATATTTTTTATGTACTAATTTTGTCTATAATATATAATGTACAAATTTTGTCTATAATATACATCCTTTTTTTCCCTGAAAATTTGCTGAGGTTTTCATATTATAAAAGAAAAAACAAATTGCGTAACCGACGTGTAATAACTTTCCAACGACATAATTATGTAAAAAACCGACGTAAAATGATATTTAGACAAGATGGGACGTACATGGGACGTCGTTTTGATGAAAATTTCGCCATGGTTTCGTTTTTAAACGACGTCCTTTTGAACAAGTAAGTCGTTTCATTAGGGTTTAGGTTAATACCTTTTAACGACGGTGATTAGGTCGTGGAATATCTATTTTACGTCAGATAGTGAAACATCCGCCATGGTTTCTCTTTTAAACGACGTCCTTTTACATGTGAGTCGTTTATTATTATTTACAACGTCGTGGTTTGTTGTTGATATAAGAATATTTTATTATTTTTAATTCAAAATTTTAAAAATAAATTTAAAATAAATTCAAAAAATTCAACTTCAACTCCTATGAAGTCATTGATATATTTTCTTCCCCCTAAACCCCAAAAAAATGCAGTTTGTGTAATAAAAGTTTAAAATGACCAACCAAAATAAAATTGTTTTATGAGTCATAGCATCACTTATATAGTTTGATGGTTTAGGGTTTAGGGTTTGGGGTTTAGGGTTGTTATTTATTAGGGTTTATGGTTAAAGTATAATTTTTGGGGTTTAGGGTTTATGCTTGTTATTTATTAGGATGTAAAACCATAAACAATTTTATAAAATTAAATTTTACAAATATATAATTTATGGTTTTAAAGTTTAGGGTATTACTTTTAACGACGGTGATTGAGTCGTGGAATATTGAGTTTACGTCGTATGGTGAAAAATCCGACGTGGTTTCTTTTTTAAACGACGTTTTGTTTACCTGTTAGTCGTTTATTATTATTTACAACGTCGTTAGTTACTTAACCCCGCCGTGGTTTTTCATAGTTTTAACGCCTTTTTTGATTTTGCGTGGTACATAGTTTTACCACGACGTCCTTAATGTAATAAGCGTCATGTTTAATGTTAAATTTTAACGACGCTTGTTTTTTCGGTCGATGTTTTAAAAAGCGCGCTTTCTTAAAATATTCGCGGGACCTAAAATTTTCAGATTTGGCTCTTATTTTTATACTTGTAACCCTGAACCCTAAAATTTTCTGATTTCGCGCAACATAACATTTCGCTCTCTCACTTCATCTCTAATTCAAAGTTGGGCCAGGCTGTGTCAAATCCAATTTGGTCATAATCTGTGAGCTCTGCCAACCTGTAAGTACAAACCCTCTCTTCCCCTTGTAAATTCATTGAATGATATATTACGTTGTTTTGTTAAAGGGTTTTAGGTATATGTTTTGCGATCTGTTAATAATGTTGTTGGAGGTATGGGTTCATGGATTTTCTGTTTAATGTTTTCTTGATCACTCTCTGTTATGTTGAATATGGAATGGATTTCATTTTGTCGGATCTTTTAATCACTCTCTGTTATGTTGAATTGGGAATGGATTTATTGTTTTCATGCTTAGTATATGTTGGTTTCATGTATATGTTGGTTTCTTGCTTGGTTTCATGTCTATGTTGTGTTCTTAATAGGGTTTTGGGATCTTGAAAATAAACTGGATATCGACGCGTTTTCAGGCATACGACGACGGTTTTTACTTTAAACCGTCGTTTTTATTACTTATACACGACGGTGTTATTTAACTACCGTCGTGGTTATAATTAGACGACGTAAAATCCGTCGTCTATATATGTCAAATACGTCTGTTTTTGTTTAAAAACCGTCGTCTCTGTTGTATATTACTTGCTATTAGACTTTATATAATCTGCTATAGTGATGGTCATTGCTTGTCTTTTCACTTTATTATATATAATAGGGTATAGTGTCGGAGATGGATAAGTCATGGATGCACTCGGATAGAAGATCGAAGGCATATGAGTTAGGGGTGGAAGCATTTTTGAACTTTTCTGTAGAAAATCTTCTAACTACCACACATATCCGTTGTCCATGTGTTAAATGTGTTAATTTGAAATTGTTTGGGGTTGGAATTATAAGGGATCACTTATACTTTAATGGAGTTGACCAAAGCTATAAGAATTGGACATTTCACGGAGAACCTTGGGAAGCAGCTACTAATGCTAGTAGAAATGTTGAAGAAGATGATGACCATAGTAGGTACAGTTTTGTGTCTGAAGAAATAGAGATGGATGATAATGATTTTGGTGATTTTGGATCTGATCCTTATGAGTTTGCCAATGTGATTGGGGATGGAGATCAACCATTGTACCCTGGTTGTAGAAAGTACACGAAGTTATCGGCATTAGTGAAGTTGTATAATTTGAAGGCAAAATATGGGATGAGTGATGTCTGTTTTACAGAATTATTGATACTTCAAGGCGATTTGCTTCCAGAAGGAAATACAATACCGGCCTCTATGTATGAGGCAAAAAAGACTTTGTGTGCATTGGGGCTGAGTTATGAGAAAATGCACGCATGCCCCAATGATTGCATCTTGTATAGGAAGGAGTATGAGGATTTAACTCATTGTCCTAATTGTGGTATCTCAAGGTGGAAGGAAGGCAAAGATTCAATCTTGAAAGAGGGTGTGCCAGCGAAGGTGGTGTGGTATTTTCCTCCAATTCCAAGGTTTAAAAGGATGTTTCGATCACATGAGACCGCTAAGAGTTTGACTTGGCATGCTGCTAGAAAATCAATTGACGGTTATATGTCTCATCCAGCGGATTCCCCGTCTTGGAAACTTCTTGATGATAAATGGCCCGAGTTTGGTAATGAGCCGAGAAACTTGAGATTGGCTCTTTCATCTGATGGATTCAATCCCCACAGTTCTCTAAGTAGCAGATATAGTTGCTGGCCAGTTATCTTAGTTACATATAATCTCCCTCCATGGCTGTGCATGAAACGAAAGTTCATGATGTTGACCTTATTGATTTCCGGTCCTAAACAGCCGAAATGATATAGACGTCTACTTGGAGCCTTTGATTGATGATTTAAAATCTTTGTGGGCTGGGATTGGAGGAGTGTATGATGCACATAATGGAGAATACTTTACACTCAGAGCTGCATTAATGTGGACAATTAATGATTTCCCCGCCTATGGAAACTTATCTGGTTGTGTTGTTAAAGGATATAAAGCTTGTCCAATATGCGGCGATGATACACCTAGTCACAGGTTGAAAAATGGCCACAAAATTTGTTACATTGGGCATAGAAAATGGTTACCGATCAATCATCCATATAGGAGGCAACGTGCAGCTTTTAATGGGAAACCTGAATATGGCACGCCTCCTGAGCCATTAACCGGAGAAGAAGTGCTGCATATGGTTGAAGATGGTGACAGAGTTTGTTGGAAGAAGAAATCAATATTCTTTGATCTCGAGTATTGGAAATACCTTCCTGTGAGGCATGTCCTAGATGTTATGCACATTGAGAAGAATGTTTGCGATAGTATCATTGGTACATTGCTGGAGATCCCTGGAAAAAATAAAGATGGGATTGCTGCTCGATTAGATTTATTGAACATGGGGGTCAAAACTGATTTGCAACCCGAGTATGGAGAAAGACGTACTCGTTTGCCTCCCGGGCCTTGGAATTTGTCAAGAGCAGAGAAGAGAGAGGTTTGCAATTCTTTCTATGGTATGAAGGTCCCTGAAGGTTATTCTTCAAATATAAAAAATCTTGTATCTTTACAAGATTCAAGACTTCTTGGCCTTAAATCACATGATTGTCATACCTTAATGCAACAATTGCTCCATGTGGCAATTCGTTCTGTTTTGGAGAAGCCTGCAAGGTATGCAATAACTCGTTTGTGCTTCTTCTTCAATGCTATATGTGCAAAGACTGTTGATGTTTCCAAGCTAGATAAGTTGGAAGAAGATGTAGTAGTTACTTTGTGTTTGCTTGAGAAGTACTTTCCCCCTTCATTCTTTGATATCATGGTTCATCTAGTAGTACATCTTGTCAGAGAAGTTCGTCTGTGTGGGCCAGTATATTTTAGATGGATGTATCCGTTTGAAAGATATATGAAAGTGCTAAAGGGGTATGTTTAGAATCGTACTCGTCCCGAAGGTTGCATTGCTGAGCGGTATATAGCTGAAGAAGCTGTAGAGTTTTGTACCGAGCATTTATCTGATGTTAGTACAGTTGGAGTGCCTTCAAGCCAAAAGATGGGAGTTTCAAAGCCATTATCAGGTTTCACAGTGAGCGTAGTTGATCGGGACCTGTTGAACCAAGCACATCTATATGTCTTGGAGAATACGGAGGAAGTCCTACCTTATATCGAGTACGTATGAGTTTTATTCTTTAAGTTTCCATTTTAAATTATTTCTTATGTTTATCTTATATGTTTGGGACCGTAATACTTGAATTTTGTGTGTCATGTAGGCAACATATGATCCACATCCAGACCGCTTATCCAAAATTTAGAAAGAGAACAAAGTGGCTGCAGGATAAGCACAATAGCACTTTCATTCAATGGCTACGCTTCAAGGTATATGTTATTGAATAACATATTGGACTTTTAATTTTCTTCTTTCTATGTTAGATTGAATTAAGTTATGATTAATTTGCAGGTTCAAAGTGAACTTAATGAGGACAATCATGGCGTATCAGAAAATTTAAGGTGGCTAGCAGCTGGTCCAAACATGGCAGTGCCATTATATAGGAGCTATCTCATTAAAGGTATTAAATTCAACATCAAGGCACAAGATGATGTGCGGACAACTCAAAATAGTGGAGTTTATTTACTTGCACATACTATGCAAGTTGCTAGTGCCAAGGATAAAAACCCAATTCTCTCAAATATGGGTTTCTATGGTGTCATTCAAGAAATTTGGGACCTTGACTACCAAAAGTTTACAATCCCAGTCTTTAGGTGTGATTGGATTGATAATACTTCTGGTCTTGTAGTGGACGAACTTGGATTTACCCTTGTAGATTTGAGTAAAATTGGACATAGGAATGACCAATTTGTTTTGGCTTCTCAAGTCAAACAAGTATTTTTTGTTGACGACCCGATGCATCGTGGTTGGTCGGTAGTGTTATCAATGCCTAATAGAGAATATAATGATGTTATTGGTGATGATGTCTTAGGTGATGTGAGAATTGAGTGTGAGCCATTTACTAGGGGGATGCCAAATGTTGACACATTTGATGAAGTGGTGGTTGAGTTAGGGAGTCAAAATATTCGAGATGGGTGTGAAGATATATGGGTTGAATGATGCTTTATGTAATTGGCAGTGTATGACATTAATTTTGTAATATATTGTAATGTGATTTCTTCACTTTCATTATACAGGTTTTGGCCACAAAACAATCAGTACAAAAATTACTGGTTCCAGATTACAAACACGACGGTTTTGATAAAGAACCGCCATGTAATTCAACATAACACGTCTCCAATCCCATAACACCGACGTCTAAAAGACGAGAACTTTAACCTGAACGTTACAAAAGACGACGTCGTCATGAATTTACCACGTCGCATGTTCTTTCATAAACGAAGTGGAAAAGGATGAATTCACGACGGTATTTGAAATCCATTAAATTTGTCGACGTTAAGATTTATGAATTAGACGACGTTAATTTTTTTAATGAAGACGTATAAATTATTAAACACAACGGTCTTTTTCATGGTACCGACGTTGTATATAAACGACAACGTCGTCCTCATAAATTACTGTGTCGTAATTAATGACCCCATCATTTTTTCCACGTCGTTTATTTTCAAATATGACGTATAAATTCTGTAATACGGCTCTCATTTATTTGGAACCGACGTTGTTTATTCATTTCAACGTCGTCTCAGTAAATACATACGTCGTAATTAATGAACCTGACATCTATTTCCACGTCATAATTCGTAGAAAAATCGAAGTGGAAAATTTATTTTACGACGGTATTTGAAGTCCATTAAACTTGTCAACGTTAAGATATATGCATTAGACGACGTCAATTTTTTAAATGAAGACGTATAAATTATTAAACACGACGGTCTTTTTCATGGTACCGACGTTGTATATAGACGACAACGTCGTCCTTATAAATTACTGTGTCGTAATTAATGACCCCATCATTTTTTCCACGTCGTTTATTTTCAAAATATGACGTATAAATTCTGTAATACGGCTCTCATTTATTTGAAACCGACGTTATTTATCCAATTCAACGTCGTCTCTGTAAATACATGCGTCGTAAGTAATGACCCTGACATCTATTTCCACGTCATAATTCATAGAAAAATCGAAGTGGAAAATTTATTTTACGACGGTTGTGGGAAATGTTGTGACGTAGTAGGTGTCAATAACGTCGTCTATTATTATTGTAAAGACGTCGTATTTATATTTGTCGTTAAATATTTATTTAACGGTGTGAAGTTTAAGTTCTCGTCGTTGTATGTTTATCTTGCGGCCATGTTCTGTTAATATATGTCATCTGTTTCCTTTTTAACGACGTTTTTTTTGTTGGAGTTGGTCGTCTATTCTCATCCTCGACTGTTTTTTGATGTCTTTTTGCAGCACAAAGACGTCGGTTTTTATTTTTTGATGACGTTTTTTGTTTTAACAACGACGGTTATTCACCGTCGTGGTTTGGTTATGGAAAAGATGTCGGTGGATTCCACGACCATTTGAAAACAGAATACACGATGGTGAATTCCCGTCGTGTTTTTCCTTTTTTGTAGTAGTGTTACCCGCCAATCTTTGGTAATAACTTATATCACTGAGAGGCTCTCCTTCCAAGTCTAACTTCAATTTGCTATCAAGAGGGGTACGAGCCAGTTTGCAATCCATCATCTTCACTTCTTGAAGCAATTCAACCACATATTTCGGTTGACTTAAAAACAGTCCATTGGGAGAAGTAGCCATTTCAATCCCCATGAAGTATTTTAACACTTCTAAATCTTTAATGGCAAATTTCTGATGAAGAAAATGCTTAAGAGTGCTAATCACATCAATATTATCACCTGTGATGATGATATCATCAACATAGATTAGAACAACTATTTTACCAACTAATCTAGTTCGAACAAACAAGAATGAATCAACATGACTTCTCTTGAAACCAAACTTTTCAAGTATGGAGCTCAGCTTGGCATACCAAGCACGTGGAGGTTTTTTCAATCCATAAATGGACTTGTGAAGCTTGCAAACCATACTTGAATTATGTGCTTGTTGATGACCAAGAGGTAATTGCAAGTAAACTTCCTCTTCAAGGTCTCCATGCAAAAAAAGAATTTTTTTTACATCCATTTGGTATAACGGCCACTCATGATTAACTGCAACAGATAACAAAACCCTCACTGTAGTCATCTTAGCCACGAGAGCAAATGTCTCCTTATAATCAACTCCAAACGTTTGAGTAAAACCCCCACGAGCCACCAACCTTGCCTTGTGTCTTTCAATTGAACCATCAGAATTAAACTTGGTTTTGTAGATCGACCTACTGCCTACCACCTTCTTTCCCTTTAGAAGTTGGAATACACTCTAGGTTTTATTTTCATCCAAAGCCTTGAGTTCTTCTTCCATGGCTAGCTGCCAAACATCTTGAAGATTGCCTTCTTGAAAATTCCTTGGTTCACTTTCATTTGATAATTTACTGAGAAAAGCTGCATGGGAGTGACAGACTTTGGAGTAATTTACAAACTTGTGAATTGGGTAACTTACATTGTACATTACTGTAACATCTCATGTCGACCAACGGAGATAGAGTGATGTGCCTTGTATGTACATGCCCGCCTCCATCTAGCACGAGGCCTTTTGGGAGCTCACTGGCTTCGGAGTCAAGGGAACTCCGAAGTTAAGCGCGTTGAGGCTAGAGCAATCCCAGGATGGGTGATCCACTGGGAAGTTGCTCGTGAGTTCCCAGAAACAAAACCGTGAGGATAGAGAGGGGGGGGGCCCAAAGCGAACAATATCGTGCTACAACGGAGCCGATTCGGGATGTGACAATTTGGTATCAGAGCTACTCTACTGTGTGGTGCGAGTGTACCGACAAGGACGTCGGGCCCCTAAGAGGGGTGGGTTGTAACATCCCACGTCGACCAACGGAGAAGGAGTGATGTGCCTTATATGTACATGCCCACCTCCATCTAGCACAAGACATTTTGGGAGCTCACTGGAACTCCGAAGTTAAGCAAGTTGGGGCTAAAGCAATCTCAGGATGTGTGACCCACTGGGAAGTTGCTCATAAGTTCCCAGAAATAAAACCGTGAGGGCAGATAGTGGGGCCCAAAGCGGACAATATCGTGCTACAGCAAAGCCAATCTGGGATGTGATAGTTACATAGTCTTGTAGCCTTGATGGTGGATGTCTATCTCGAGTTGGATTCCTTTGAGGTTGAGCTGGGATCAAAGTAGGTTCAGCTCCACTCTCTTCTATAGATGACGTGTCATTGTCTTGAGGAACAACTTGTGCTTCAGAGGCTTTAGTTTCATCTCCAATAATCACGTTGTCATTATTGGTTGCATGAGAGTCACTGTCGTGAGGTACTGAATGAACACAATCACTTGTTTCGGCAATCCCATCTCATCAAACCTTACATCTCTTGAGACAAATAGCTTCCTGGAACATGGATTGTAACATTTGTAACCTTTTCGAGTGGAGGAGTAACCCATGAAAACACACTTAACTGCCTTAGGATCTAGCTTGTCTCGGTGATGGGATTGAATATGAGCATAACAAGTACATCCAAAAATTCTCATATGGGAAAGGTATTTTTTTTGTTTCGCATGACCTCATATGGTGATTTTGAATCTAGAACACGACTAGGCAGTCTGTTGATGAGGCAGGTGGCTACAAGAAGTCCTTGAGACCAAAACCTCTTAGGCACATTCATTTGTAACATTAGAGCCCTGGTTTTCTCAAGTAGATCCCTATTTTCCTTTCGGTAATTCCATTTTGCTGAGGAGTACCTACACAACTAGTTTGATGTATAATGCCATGTGTGCGCAAATAGTTAGTCATATTTTTTTATGTATATTCAGTGCAATTATTAGACCTTAGTATGTGAATTTGAGACGAAAAATGATTCATGACAAGATTATGAAAATTCTTGAAAGCATCCATGACTTCACTGTTGAATTTTAGGAGGTACAACCAAGTGACTCTTGAAAAATCATCAACAAAAGTAACGTAGTACCTATAACCATCAAAAGACTCTAGAGGTGCAGGTCCCCAAACATCGGAGTGCACCATCTCAAAAAGCTTGCTAGCTCTAGATATGGAAGAAATAAATGGAAGTCTAGTAAATTTTGACAAATGACAAATTTCACATACAAGTGACGATTTGCATAAACTAGGGAACAAAGTAGACAAAACAAATTCTAAGGGATGTGCTAGACATTGGTGCCACAACTGATGTTCTAGATTTGAACTAACTTAGAACCCCTTTGGAACATTAAGGTCCTTTGAAAAATAGTACAGCTCATTTAGGTAGTGACCTTCACCAATCAGCTTCTTGGTGGCTAGATCTTGAAAAAAAAACATTGTGAGGGGAGAAAATTGCACAACAATTGAGAGAATTTGTAAAGAAAACAATTGAAAAGGAAAGGATGGAACATATAATGCTGTGGACTCAACACTATGTGAAATTAGTTTAACTTTCCCTCTACCTAGAATGGGTACACCTCTACCATTTGTTATAGAAACTAGTGATGGTTTAGTGTAGCTTTCAAAATTGTATAGCTTTGAATATTGATTTGTCATATGATCAGTGGCACCTGAGTCTATAATCCAAAAATCATGAGAATGACTAACATTTAGAGCAGTTGAAAGAGCACACATAATACCTGGAACATCTCCTTGAGGTACACGATTAGACCCAGCTAAGAATCCTGCAAACTACCCAAGGAGAGCAGTTTGATTTCCACCAGTCAATACTTCGCATGTGCTTCCTTTTTTGGTTTGAGGATAGGCTGAGAACTCATTTATCAAGTCAGCCAGATTGGTTGTGAAGTTCATCAGCCATCAATTGATGTAGCAACAGCAGCAACATGGTTTTTGTTTGTATGTGATCTGGTTTATGAGCCCTTGTAGTCTCTTGAAGGCTTGTTCTCAAACTTTGGCTTCAACTCAGGGTGTAATATCCAGTATCGATCTATTAGATGTCCAATATTATTGCAGTGTAAACACTTCAGATCTGGCCTTTTTCCCTTGTACACTCTATCTCCAGATGACTTGTGGTTTGTCACAAAAGCTCTAGCCTCAAGCACACTAGATTTTAGGTCAACATTCATGACTTTCCTACGTACTTCTTCTTGCTGGATAGTAGTGCAAACACTTGCAAATGATGGAAGTTCAAGGTTGATTAGAATATGGCCTCTAAGATCTTCATATTCAAACCCCAAACTTGCAAGCAAATGAAAATTTTTGTCTTCCTCGAACCTTTTTAACAGTATGGCAGCATCGATAGTATTTTTCATGCAACCAAGATGATGAACAAGGATTTATCACCTTGTTGGAGACTTGCAAGATTCCTCTTAAGTTGGAACACTCGAGCTTCATTGTTTTGATTGCCATACATATCTTTTACTACCTTCCAAAGAGAAAGAGAGGATTCTGAAAAACTGAAGATTTCAGACAGCTTAGGATCCATGGAGTTGAGGAGCCACGACATGACCAATTGGTCTTTGCACAACCATGCTTCATACTTCGGAGACGAATCGTCAAGTATGTTGAAGAATACACAAGTCCCACATCGGAAACTTAACAAAATAGAAAGTCTCATATAATAAATGGTTCCACTCCTAATAACATCGAGGCCTTTTGTATAAAAACCCCACACCTGCTAAACAGGTGATTAAGTTGGGGACAATATCGATGTTGACAGAAGGACCCTAAACCCGAAAAGTGGTCCCACGTGAGGAGGAGTGTTGAAGAATACACGAGTCCCACATCGGAAACTTAACAAAATAGAAAGTCCCATATAATAAATGGTTTCACTCCTAATAACATCGAGGCCTTTTGTATAAAAACCCCACACCTGCTAAACAGGTGATTAAGTTGGGGACAATATCGATGTTGCTAGTGGTGGGCCAAGGGTCCGTCCCTCTAAAATCTTAACAAGGTGCCTCAATGCTTCCATTAACAAATCTAAGTTTAGATCTTCCTCCAAGGGCAAGAGATACTGCTCTAGACCATGGAAAATAGTTAAACTCATTTAACAACATAGAGCACAGTCGTTGGTTTGGGTTGACTTCAGCTTCTAGAAAACTAGAACGAGGTGCTGAGCCAAAAGGATTATCTTATATGCCATTATTGAATAGAATGTACAAAAGAAACGAAGGAAAAAATGGAGACAGGCCGATTAAGGTTCCTGCTCTGATACCATGTGGAAAATAATAGGGAGAATATGTTTTCTCATTATGTTTTATTTACAAGATTACACAGGTATATATATATATATAAGCTGGGGAAGGGTTAATATCCACTAGCTAAGAACCATTGGCCAGTCTAAGAGCTGTTGGCCAATGCACCACAACCTTAACTTTAACCCTTAATTATAGGAAAACTCTAATTACAAGTAACAAGATCAAATCCCCTAAATTAAGGACGTGTAAATCAATCACAGTTAGCAGCCACCAAGCTAATCACAACTATCAGGTACCAATACTTCCAATAAAGCGCTACGGCAAAACCTTGAGATACTTTTCACTTGTGCGAATCTGCAACCTTACTTTTGCAATAATGAAAAACAAACTCTGAATCACGATAAAGTTAGCTGAATCAAAGGAAAATGGACAATGATGAAATGAGAAACGATATTTTGTCCACACAAAGTACCTTTTGAGTTTTGACTAGACAAGTCCAAGTTGATCATGAGGAGTATTCGAGGAGAGATCAACATGATGTGAGACGAAGACTAATTTCAAAGATCCACAAGTATAATAGTAACTTCAATTTATTCAAATACTGGGCGGAGCTAGAATTGTAAAATTGGGGGACTTGGGTAAAAACTACGAATATATATATATATATATATAAAACACCTATGTATTCAATAGTTACATGTTTAGAGTTAAATATTTCTAATTTAGTCATGTCTAATTTGTTTTAGAGGGAATTTTAACTTCAATTATAAGTTGTTTTTTACAAATTTTATATGTTGTAATAATATAATATAGGAGATATCTAAATCTATGAGGGGGCCTGGCCATTCAAGGCCTAGGATTCTTGGAATTTTTGTTCAAAGTCCACTTATTTGAAGATGTTTTCCATTTTCATCTTTACCTATAATATAAGATTGGTCTCCAAATGAAGAAAAACTGCACAATTGGAGATGGCAACAACTCTCTACTGGTGCCTCCAGAACAATGTCAGAAACTGCAGAGCTCCTACAAAACAAAACAAAAATTTGAGGTAGAAAGTAGTAAAGAAGGCATAGAAGTTGGGATTTTCAGTGTGAACAGAAAATATTATGAAGGTGCTGTTGATGATGATCAAGGAAGACGAACGCTCCAAATACACTTGATTGCAAAGTTGAGGACAATATAATTGAGTCAAACAAAGGCGAGCGTGTTGAGATTAGCAAAATTGGTACCATTACTACAAGTCTAGCAAAGGCGAAGCAGGCGGCAGCTCGAGGAGGAAGGACAAAGCAGGCGACTCGAGTGAAAAGGAAGGCACGAGCAAGAAGCCATGGTATAAGCTTTGGTAAAAGTAAATAAGAGAAAGGAAGGGAGGTTGTGGAATAACAGGCTAGAGTTTTCCAAATTAATTACTCACCTGTTCTTAATTACGTGGTTTTGTTAATTTATGTATTACAAAATGTGAAAATAAGAGATGATAACCAACTGTTGCGCAGCGGAAGGGTGTGGAGATGCATGGCCATGCAGAGCTCCTATACACTCGAGCTTTTCTTTCCAAACCTTTTCTCTTAATCTGAATCTTATTTCTATTTTCTTTCTTCTTCTGCATGTCATAAGTATATTAATGTTGAGTAAGTATTATTTCTTCTTGTCTACATGCCATAAGTATTGTTTCTTCTTGTTCTAGCTTCTTCTCTTTTTTTATTTAGCCACTGCCGTATATTAATGGTGAGTAAGCAAAACCAACAAAAGAGGAAAAGCCAAACAACATAGAAAACAATAGAAAAAGAGAGATTAATTATTCATAAATTTAATTTGAACCTCTAATCGGTTTTGTCTTTGGTACTTATATAGGCACAAGTCTGCTTGCTTCCCACATTTCACAATCCTACTTTAGTTCATATCAAACTGTGTGTATTATTATGCCACTAGGATTTCTGTAGCGTAAGTAGACTCCTACATACAGAAAAAGCTACATGTTATATTAAGGAACTATATATTGGGTTCATTTTTGTACATGATTTATCATGATATTTGCTAATGCTCGGCACACACCAAGCTCGTCCGCCCAATAAAATCATGACACGTGGACCTTGCGTACCACGTCGGGAGATAACCAAACCGCCTTTTATTTCGGTCTCGGAGCTACCCTAGGGAAATTCGAAGGGATGCAAATCAACCATGTCGACGACAAGACCTCCTCTGACCACAAGTTCGCCACACCTCATAAAGTGTGCCCATGTCCTCTTAAAAGCCACGTGTAAACCACCTAAATTACCACCTGACCAGATGGGACTACTGTCTCGCGTGACAGGCTACTTTGCCCACACTCGCCCCCTAGTAAAAGCGTGAAGTCATCATGAGAAGAGGACGTGGGTGAACCCCGACCGTCCGCCACCTGACAAATTAGTGTGACATGGAGGATCTAAACAAAACTCTTCAGGACAACAATGAGCTCCTACAAAAGCAGTAGATCGGCCTCCAGGTGAACCTACAAAGAGCCCAGAAGAAGGCCATCAAGGATTCAAGCCATACCAGGCATGTGGAAAGATGCTTGTTTGTCGAGGAGTCGGCGTCCGCTTCCATGCCTCAACCTGGTAACATCATCCCAAGCTCCGACCCCGAGAGTACAGATTCTAAAGAAATCATCCCTGTCGATCGCAGCTCAGGCAAAAGAAAAGATCACGCCGCTGAAACCGACGGCCAAATGCCTGACTAACCCATCGTTCTCGCCTACGAGCTTGACCTGAGAGCGGCAATGGAAGCCATGATCAAGGGAGAGGTGGGAAGCGTATGGGATAGGCTCGGCAAGGTCAAAAACAAACCACTTGTCCCCTCATTTTCCGGACACGAAATCCCTCTCCCTTATATCAAGGCACTCCTCAAAGCGACTATTGCCAGTCACACGAAGGCCCCGAAAATTGCCCTCAACGACAGACTCACAGACCCGTATGACCATCTCGATAGTTTTTGATATGCCATTGATGCCCGCGAGGGGGAGGGGGGAACGAGGCGACTAAATACAGACTCTTCCCGACCACCTTGAAAGGAGCAGCCCTGAACTGGTTCAAATGGCTGAATCTCGAATCCATCTGCTCGTTTGCCCAGCTGCGTCGAGCGTTCCTGGACAGGTACATGATCATATCAAGCCGGTTATATACCGCTACCGATCTCTCAGATATACGACAGAGAAAGGACGAATCCCAATGAGATTATGTCACCCATTTTAACAACGAATATACTCGTTGCGAGGGTTGTGACGAGGCGAAGACTTATAATGCTCTCATGAGAGGCTTCTAGGGTGGGGAATTTTTCTTCCACCTCACCAGAAATCCCCTTGAACCGTATAAAGAGCTCCTCCGAGAGGCCACACACTACAATCGACCCGAACAACTAAACACGACCTAAAACCGGCATCTCAAGCAAGCAAATCGCAGGCGCATAACCTTCTCGACATATTCCAGATTCATGCCGAGGGAATTCCCAAAAGAATGAGCACCGACCAAAACCGATGAAAAAAAAAACAAAAAAAGTTACATGCCCCGAAATACCAGTAAAAGGACCATCTTGGAAATCACAGGAAAGAATTACCCGCTCTGCATCATGGCTGGAATAAATAACTAGGGAAACGAGATAAGGCTCGATACTGCAAGTATAACACTGTAAGTATGGGTACTCATCAGAAGACTGCTTTCAACCGAAAAAGGAGATCGATGAGCTAGACAAGATGGGAAAACTCCGAGAGTATGTGGCCTACCCTGACACCGCCACTGAAGCTTCAGGGGGATCAACCCAGGCCTCGATCTCCCGTAGACTGATAGCCACAATCGGAGGGGGCCCTTCTTTACACAGTGACAACAATAGGCCCAGGAAACGATACGCTCGATCGCTTGGCCATGCATCCAACCGCGCACTCTCCATCGGTGATACCGCCCAACCCTGCAAATGAGCTTGGATGAGAGACGAGGAGCCCATCGTTTTTAGCCCAGATGAAGGGCATACCTCACAACGACCCTCTAGTTATGTCAGTTGATATCCCAAATTGTGACATTAACTAGGCCTTCATTGACAGAGGAAGTTCCTCCAATATCATCTTCGCACCCGTATTCAACCAGCTTGAGATAAATTGAGCACTCTTTGACACAAGTACACCCCCGCTTAGGCTTTCGGAGGTACTCGAGTGCAGCCCTTTGGCAATATCCACCTCGCCCTGACCACAAGACAATGTCCTCACCAAATGACCACAATCGCCAACTTTGTCGTTGTGAATTGTCTGATAGCTTATAATGTAATTTTGTAAAGACCCGCACTCACAGAGCTCGATATCACCCTTAGTTACTGCACCCTCATGCTAAAGTTCAGAACGCCCCACGGGATAGGGACTATCCAGGGAGACCATGTCTCGAGGCGGAATTGCTATGTCACGGCCATGAGGCTGAAAACCACTCTAAGCGATACCCTCGTTACCAGTGCCAGTCACCCAATAGCCTGGTTTTGCCCTTCTTCAAGTGATTACCAGCCGCACATCTGCATTCAGCCTTTCACAATCACTACCGGCATAGCCCAGCAAAACACACCCTATGCCCTCCTTGAGAAAGATAGCTCAGTTGATATTTTTTCTCCCCAGCGATCTCTCACCTCGGCCTAGAAGCTAGAGCACTCACCCCCTACCACCATGAGTTACATGCTTTCAACGGTACGAGAGTGCGCACCCTTGGCAGTATTGACCTCAATATCTATATAGGGTTATTCCCAGCACATGTCGGAGCACTGACACACTTTGTGGTGTTCAATCACCCGAGCCCGTACTTCGCCATTTTTGGCCAACCCCTCTTAAAGACTCTTCATATAACATTGCACTATCGCTCGTTGACGTTGGGCCTTCCGACCTTCCAAAGGACTAACCGATGAATATCCCCGACCCCAACCCTTGGCAGACCTAAAGTCGATAGTCATTTCTGACAGGCATCTAGACCAACGGATCTGGATAGGGATGAACCTGGAGCTAGTCGAAAGAATAAGCCTCATCATCTTTCTACGTAACAACACAGACTGCTTCGCTTGGTCTCATGTCAACTTACCCAGCATTGACCCCTTGGTTATAACCTATCACTTAGGAGTTAGCCCTGAGGCTCGGTCTATTCGATAGAAGCGTCGACCCTACGATAACGCCCGATACTCTGCCATGAAGAAAGAAGTCCAAAAGTTCAAGGAGGTCGGCTTCATCCACAAGATGGATTACTCGAAATGGGTGTCAAACGTAGTCATGGTCAGGAAGACACCTAAGAAATGGAGGATGTGCACGGACTTCACGGATCTTAACAAAGCCTGTCTTAAACACAGTTTTTCATTCCCAAAATTGACCCACTGGTTGATGCCACCACAGGCTTTGCCTTCCTTAGCTTCCTAGACTTCTACTCTAGGTACAACCAGATCCGCATGGACCTCACCGACGAAGAAGCCACCTCATTCATCACTGACCGGGAGCTCTACAATTACAAAGTTATGCCCTTTGGGCTTAAAAATGCGAGCGCCACATACCAACGACTAGTTAATCGGATGTTCGCTAAATACCTCGATTAGTCCATCGAGGTATATGTGGATGAGATGCTTTTCAAAAGTCTCACCATCGACCAGCATGTCAATCGCCTCGCCGAGATGTTTGCAGTCCTCCAACAATACAAAATGCGGTTGACCCCGCCAAATGTGTTTTCGGCGTCGAGTCAGGGAAGTTCCTGGGGTTCATGGTTAGCCTACGAGGGATCGAGGCCAACCTCGAAAAATTCCTAGCGCTGGTAGAAATGGTTCCCCCCAAGAACAAAAAGAAATACAAAGTCTCACCGGCCATGTGGCTACCCTGAACCGCTTTATCTCACAGTCCATCGACCAATGCCTGCCATTCTTCAAGGCCATACGAGGTGTGCAAAGACAAATCAACTAAAAAGAAGAATGTGACGATGCCTTTCGAAGCCTAAAAACGCACATGGGAGCTACTTATGTCCTTTCTAAACCAGAGCCTAGTGAGACCATGTGCGTTTATCTATCTGTCTTCGTCTCCACCATCAGCTCAGTTCTCATTAGAGAAACCAACGCCATACAACGGCCATGTATTATGTGAGTAGAGCATTCACAGAGGCCGAGACACGTACCCTTTAATCGAGAAACTCGCACTTCTCCGGGAGTGGTGCCGGGATCGTGCTCACTTCTCCGGATGATACCGAAGTGGAGTACACCCTCCACTTTCAATTTAAGACCATTAACAATGAGGCCAAGTACGAGGCCCTACTCGTTGGGCTCCACCTCGCCCCTAACCTTGGAGCCAAAAAATTGACCGCGCACAACAACTCGATGCTCATCGTGAACCAGATCAACAACTCCTATTAGGTCAAAGGCAAAATCATAGGGATCTACTTGGAGGAAGCACAACGTCTGGTGTCCCTTTTCACAAACTTTACCACCTTGCCATAGATTTCCTGAAACTATCTGAATCAACCTTTGCCTTTCTCAAAGTATCTTCTACCACAAAAACTTGAGGAAAATACAGATTTGCTGTTGGGTATTTAGTTCCAGAAAACAAACAAGTCACATCATAAAACACCTTAAGAAACTTGCTAAGTTTTTCCAATTTTCCCCACTCATCTTGAGAAAGAGAATGTTTGTAATTAGAATCACTCAACTGTAAATGCAGAAACGCACGTTGATAATAAAGTGCACTGTCAATCATAAGAAAGGTAGAGTTCCATCTAGTGGGTACATCTTGACGCAATCCCCTTTTACATTCTAAAGAAACTTGTGCAGCACAATCTAGGAATTTCTGTTTCCTCCTTTGTGAACCTCTAACATACTTAATGCTTTCCCTAATTTTCCCCACAGAATCATCAATGTGTTTCAACCCATCTTGCACTATTAAGTTAAGAATGTGAGCACAACATCAAATATGAAAAAACTTTCCATTCATTAATAATGCATCCTTTAAATTAAGTTGCCCCTTCAACAACTCAACAAAAGTATCATTTGAAGATGCATTGTCTAAAGTCATTGAAAAAAGTTTCTTTTCCACCCCCCAATGAGTCAATAACCTATAGATTTTCTCACACAATGCAACACCAGTATGAGGAGGAGGCATAAAACTAAAATTCAATATTCTTTTCTGCAATTTCCAATTAACATCAATAAAATGGACAGTGAGACAAAGATAACCATCTGTGGTTATAGACGTCCATAAATCAGATGTCAAACAAACTCTTCCAGGAACTGAACCCAAAATTTCCTTAAGCTTAGCTTTTTCTCTATTATAAAGACTCAACACATCAGCCTTTGCAATATTACGAGATACCAATTTAATATCAGCACAAACATAATTAAACAGTTGCCTAATTCCAGCATACTCAACAAACTGAAAGGGTAGGTCATGCATGATAATTGCCATCACTAATAATTCACGAAACTTCATAGGATCGAACTTGGAAGACCTTGTTAAGATAGCCCCATCAGATTTAGATAATAATAACTGGCCTAAATCACGAGTATCAGTTTTCACACAAGATTCAATATGACGCTTCAAATTCCCAGTACCATATCTACTATCACACAAATATTTTTACCACATTTCATACACTTTGCTCTTTGCTCATTATTTTCATCTATAGGAAGAATTTCAAATTGAGTCCATACCGCTGATGTGAGTTTTCTACGCCGCTTACCAGTCTGAGTTACAACTGCATTGTTGTTGTTTGATGGATCTGAATCAACCACATTGTTTCTAACTTCTCCAACTCCAACTCCACCTTCAGCACTTTCGGATACACCTTCAAAAGTATCCATTCCACCTATATGAAACATAATAATTTCATATTAAAAAAATAATAATCAAGCAGAATCTGTGCAACAAAAAAATAACGAATTTAACCAAAAAAACACTTACAAAATTATAAATTCCAGAACCTCCAACTCCAGTCGAACCTGAAATGAAATAAAAAAGTTCAATACGATAAATAAATTAGAAATAGAACAACAAAACAACACTATTAATCTTGATGTTATTGTCTGCCAGTATATTATTGATAGGTTTCGTTGCCTTTATTTCACCACTATCATCACATTCACAATTTGATATTATAATAATTAGTTTCTCTTTAACAACCCAAAAACAAAATTTAGAAAACCACCAATCTAAGATTCTAAGACAACCCAAACAAAATAATCAGAAACCAATAGAATAAACGAAAAGTGGAAAAGGAATTTCGTCAAATGCAAACTAAGCACAGGAAAAAAAACCAACCTTTGAATCTGATCTGGGTATCGAGACCAACCCTCTTGTTATTTGTTGAGAGGTAAACGAGAGAGAGTCGAGAGGTAGACGGAGATGAGACCAAAGCAGATGGAGTAAAGAGATGAGGCTTGGAGAGGAGAAAACTGGTTTGGTGAGCACTGAGCAGACTAAGGCTAGGCGGCTGTGTGAAAACAGGTTGTTTGTAGAGCGTATGAGTGAGAGGCTAGGGTTATGAACTTATGAATATATATGCAACGTTTTTTTTTTAGGAGGGTATTAAATTATTAATAAGTATTCTGCTAGGGTTTTAGTCTTTTAGAGTTTGCAAATAAAACGGGTTAATTGGTTCGATGCGGGTTGACACGACGCGTTTAATAAACGGGTTAGATAGGTATTGTAGCGGGTTAGCGGGTTGACCCGAAACCCACCCGTTTATTAAACGGGTCAGAACGGGTTGACCCGAAATTGACCTGTTTTTTTATCGTGCGGGTTGAACCCGCTAATTTCTCGTGCGGGTTTCGAGTCGTGTATCGGGTCGTGTCCGAAATTGCCACCCCTAGCCACAAGGCAAGACGTGAGTGGAATGTGTCGCCAAGTCAGCAGTTGTGTGACTTTCTTCTCCCAAAACACACGAGACTGAACTCAGATCACTCTTTGTATTTGTCATAAGTCATTACGCCTTCCATCAATTTGAACACGGCCATTGAATTGAAGAGGAGAGAGAATGAATCTGCAGCCTCTGGTGCTTAGCAGATACTGCACTGTCTCTCTTCCTCACACCCGCTCTTTCAATCTCAGCACAAAAATACCACCATCTTCAAATCTCACATTTGGGTCGTCCCTCCATCAACGCGCACTTTCACTGCCCCACAAGTTAAACCATACCCCTTCTGCCTCTCCTGCGAAAAGGGGTGTCCTTCAACTCGTCGCTGCTTACTCAAGAGGCAGAGAATCAGCCCCTGAGTCTCCGGCGAAAGCGCTCCGCCGAATTCTTGACTTGCCAGGGGTTCATCAAGCCCCTGCTTGTTTTGATGCTCTAAGTGCCAAGTTGGTTGAAAGAGCTGGCTTCCAGTGCTGCTTGACCAGTGGTATGTGAATTTCTTAGATGTGGGTTTTCTATCTTGTTTGTAGATGTTGGCATAATTGCATGATTTGGTATATGGGGTGGTATCAGACTATGATTTTTGAGGCAGGATTGATTATTGGTACTTTGGTATTGAGCATTTTTAGATAAGGGGTTGATTGGTTTTCTTTGTAATAGATATGTGGTTAATTATTGGTGCTCATGCTGCCAGTGTGTTGTTTCTTGTTGTGGGAATATGGGACTTCTCTTGATTATATACTCATTGTTATTGATACCCCTATTTCCAAAAGATTTAGCTGTTGGGATGTGAGCCCACAATTCATTTGTGCATCTCTCTCCCTCATTAGCACAACATGGGGAATTCAAATTATATTGCGAGGGTGCAATTGCAGGGATTCTAACTCAAGATATCTTGTTCTGATATCCTGATAAAGTTTATTGGTTTAATGCTGTTCCACAAAAGCTTAAGCTTTTGGAATATGGAAAATACCTGTTCTATATTCTAACAGTTATATCTGATCTACAAGCTGCTGCTGCAGCTTTTCCATTGTTGGTGACATCATTGTTGAACAAACTATTGTTACATTGTCAACCAGGCAAACAGGAAGTAATTGAAATAGAAATTGTTCAATCAAAGTAAAATATTGCTTGTTATCTGAATGAACTCTAAAGCAGTCAAACGTAAAAGTCATATTTTAGCGTCCTTCTTTATTCATGTGAGTTTACAGGTTGTTTTTTTCTAGATATTATCTATTCTAGATGTTCTGTATTGTGAGATATATATTTAGCTGTCCAGTAATTAGATTTTAATGCCTTTAACTGAATTTTAAGTGGGAAATTTGTTCACTGTGTATGCACTTGCTTTCATGCATGTTTAATTAAACCCTATTAATTCTTTTATAAAATCATAACACCTGAAAGCAAGTAACTGAAGTTGAGTTACTGCATATGGATCTGAGTTCTTGGTTATTTCGTGGTATATTTTCTTTTGTAAGTGTATAAACAGAGAAACAAATTTATTAATGCCATTTTGTTCTTCCATTAGGATTTTCGATATCGGCTGCTAGATTAGGATTGCCAGATACAGGTTTGATATCCTATGGAGAAATGGTGGATCAGGGGCAACAAATTACCCAAGCTGTGTCAATTCCTGTTATCGGGGATGGGGATAATGGATACGGGAATGCAATCAATGTTAAGAGAACTGTCAAGGGATATATTAAAGCCGGTTTTGCTGGGATTCTGCTTGAAGATCAGGTTATAATATTAAAATATAATTTTCATCCATGAATCTGCCTGTTTTCGTCTTCTTACTCACTCTTGCATGCACTGGCTGTTGCATGGTGTGATTTTGTATTGTTAGGTGAAGTAATTTCTGAGTATCCTCCTGGTATACCTTTGTATGACTTTGTGGTTGGTTTGATAAGTTGATGTGAAACACTTTCTAACAGTCCTTTTGTAAAAATTTCCTTGTTTTGTTAAGTATTGTGCATTCTGTTATTTTGTGCCTGTATGAGACACTTATTGCTTACAAAGCTATCCTCTTTAGGTCTCTCCAAAGGCTTGTGGTCATACCAAAGGCAGGAAAGTGGTCTCAAGAGAGGAGGCTCTGATACGGATAAGAGCAGCTGTTGATGCTCGGAAAGAGAGTGGCTCTGACATTGTCATTGTAGCACGAACTGATTCTCGTCAAGCAGTGTCTTTGGATGAAGCACTCTGGAGGTCAAGGGCATTTGCTGATGCTGGAGCAGATGTTCTTTTCATTGATGCACTAACTTCTAAAGAAGAGATGAAGGCTTTTTGTGGAATATCTTCCCCAGTTCCAAAAATGGTACCTTACATTTTTCATGGTACATTAACAAGTAACAAACATCTAATGTTGTTGAAGATTTGGCATTTATTGCATTTCTCCTAAGTCGTATGGTAAACCCTTTTAAATGCATGTGTATATACACACACTCTCCCAAGACCCAACCCAACCCAACTAACCCTTTATCCCAAAAACAATTGGGTTTGACTATAACCCATGTGTTGGAAGCAGAAGATAAACCTGAATGATATCTATAATTGAAAATTAAAAAAGTAAACATAAAAAGTTTCAGCTTTTATTCTCTCCTGTGATACTGGGTGTTGAAAAACTGTTCTTTCTATCCAACGAAGTTGAATATATCTGTACCATGTAAGTTGAGAATATGTTGTAGCACAACTCCAAATTATGTTCTGACTGGAGCACTCAACAAAGTGGTAAAAGCTGAACTCTGAAGGATATCTGTCACCTGGTGCTAAATGTGTAAGGAAGATATAGAATTTGTTGATCATTTACTACAGCATCACTCTGCTGCCTGGGATATTTATTATTTGGTCCTTGGTTTTTGTTTATTAGTTGTTTATGGAGTGTCAAACTTGATAGGGCATGTTACGTCCACAAGGTGTGATACTGCTGTAGTTGTAAGTTCTGGATCTGACTACATGCACTTTTCATTACTTTTTTTGGTTCATTATCATTTGTAATTCTGTTTACAAGAACATATTTGGACATTCTTAACAGAGATATTTAGGTTAGTTACCATGTGGGTATTGTATGAGGTATTTGCTGTTGCATGAACGAGAAATTACATTTAGTTTCAGGTATTTTAGCTGCACTGCATCCATATGGAAACATGTGATTTATACATATCAAGATATGTCAATCATTAATCTAAGAAAAAATCATCTGACTCAAATTTGTAACATCAGAAGCATTGTACAAAAATGAAAATGATTTGCAGAGATTGATAAAGCTCTATGTTCTATCAGGCCAATATGCTTGAAGGAGGGGGCAAAACACCAATACTCAATCCTCTTGAACTTGAGGATGTTGGATATAAACTTGTGACCTATCCACTTTCCTTGATTGGGGTTTCTATTCGAGCAATGCAGGTAACATGCCTATACCTTTTCATTTGAGTCCAGTTCATGGGACAAAAGAAAAGTTCAATTGTCTTGGAAATCCAATAACTGTGCTACTATAAAAAGGTTTGAAATAGTTATGACTCTTGATCTCTCTGATTTTCTTACGTGAATTAATGATGTTGTTCAAAACCCAGAACATTTGAGCAGCTAAGAAAAACATAAACACTAATTTCCTGAAAATTAAATAGACAAGAAACTGTGTACAAAATAGTAGTAATGGATTTGTGGGTTACAATCTCTGTGGGTATTCTTTGCTAAAGAAAATCCTCAAATGATTACACCTTGAATTCTTGGCCTTTACAATACAATCTGGAAGTGTACAAGTTCCACTAGAATTTTAAAGGTTCTGTATCTTTAAAGCTCTTTTATCCATTTCCTTGGAAATGGGAATTATTTTCTATATATTAATGAACAAAAAGGCAATTTTGTTCCATTATCTTTCACACAGAATCAATTTGAGGTATAAGTAGTTTTTTTTCAATTAATAATGGCTGCTACAGATCTATAAAGTGAAATCGTAACAATTTACGTTGTTATGTAAGGTACTTTGCACTAAATTCAATTTTTAAGTTATCTTGTGACATGATTCTGTTAGATTCCACTGCGAGTAATTCGTTATTATATGAATACATAATCTGGTTAAGAATATTAAAGGTATTATCACCAAATCTGTCAACAAAACTAATTTTCAGAAAAGGCCTAGAGTCTAGAATTCGAATATTACTTAAGGTCAAGGAACTTATATGAATCAATTGCAGGAAGCACTAGCTGGTATCAGAGGAGGTCGTATCCCTCCTCCTGGAAGCATGCCATCCTTCGAAGAGCTTAAGGAAATCCTAGGTTTCAACAATTATTATGACGAAGAAAAGCGGTATTCTGCCAGCATCACTCCACTATCTTCAGAAAGATGTGAGTACCTTGTAAAGTCACATGACTCATATCAATGTCATTACTGCTTACCCACTTCCGAATGATGATAATTCATTATCACACGGCCTGTAACGTGAAGTTGGATATTATCAACTGGAAATCCAGGTCTTTCCCTCTGTTCTGATTGAGGTTGATTACTTTCATCAGAAGTTAACTGGGTTAAAGCTGGATTAACATCACAGTATGAATGACTCTTTGGAAGATAAATTTCAACTTGTTTCCATTAAAGGAAATATCCAAGATTGGCCAATTTTTCCTGTACCAGTTACCATCCCACCCAAAGTTCTATAGATATAGATGGCCATTTTCTGTTTCTTAGTGCTTATACGTGAAGGTTATTTTCCAGTGACCAGTAATGTGTACAGTCTCCAAAAGAGGGTTAAAGATGATGCAGAGCAGAAAGATCAGAGTCCTCAAGATCCCATTGTTGAAGTTTATAACACCTGATGTCTACAATAACTATGGTGCAGATGGTTCCAGGGGTTCATTTTCTGGGATCTGGTCTCGGACGTTGAGGGTCAAAATAACTGGGAAGAGATGGATTTGAGAAACTTGATGTTAGGATTCCTGTAAGTCATCTATTCTTTATGGGCACAGATATCGTATAGTTTTCTTATTGCATAGCATTCCCTTCATAGTGCCTTTGTTGTTAGAACCAAACTATTATAGAAAAGAAAAATAGAGAAAACAAAACCTAGTAGTTTAATGATGAAGCCTTAACTCTTTTATTTAAAATAACTTTCAACTATATTTTACTTTTCATTATGTAGTTTATGTTTTATTATTCTTTTAAACATTTATCATGGCATCTTTCTGTAGTGCATAAAGTTTAGGTGATGTGCTAATTACATTCATAACCTCAACTATTTCTGGTATTCAGAAAGAGTAAAACTGTCACTTTTAGGGACCTCGCACATAGCTGAAACCTCTAGGAGTCAGTCCTTGTTATGACAAAACCTCTATAACCTCTTTCTTGAAGTTCTTGGTCCAAGCACACCACTTTCGTGCACTTCTCGGAAAAGGTTCACCATCAACCTTATTGATAATCCCAAGTTGGTCTTCACTCTTATATCATTAGAATCCCTAAGGTGTTGTGATATTAGGTGAACAGTGCCAGGGTGCGATCTGCCATCAACTTTAATGGATGGAAGTTGAGAAGACTTTGCAATTTTGGCTTCATCCCAACTCCCAAGAGAACATTTTCTACACTAGAAAATCAATAGTAGATGTACAAGGAGATGCTTATCAAGAAAAATGTAAAGGAGCAGAAGTGGGCGCGGCTATAGAATCTTGAAGAACAAGAGAAGGCTTCAAACTTTCTTGGAAAAGAGAAGTTTGCCTAATTGTATCAAGGTTTTTCAAGGAAACTACTTTGAGTTGGATGATTCCAACATCCTGTACTGCTGTGTTTTGTAAAAGGCGGAAGGTTTTTGATGGAGGGAAGAAGGGTGAAGGTCTAGGAAGTTTTCTTTGTAATCCCACCCATTTTTCCTGTCTCTTAATCTTTGAAATGATTTCATACACCAATCCCCCTGCATGCTAGTTATGATATTTCAGATTGTCTTATGAAAAAGTGCTTTCTTTTTTTGGTTATATACATTTTACAGGCTGGATTCTTGGATGGAATCACAAATATAGTTCCAGGTATTATTCATCTTCTCTATACTTTTGAAAATGGGTAATTACTTCAGTCTGGTAGTCGCTTATAGTATAACTAAAAGTCCACATTTTTCAAACAGCTCTCGGCGGTGTAAACATCAAAGAACTGTTGAATGAGGCAGCTGATGAAATGGGAGGGAAAGTGCTGTTAGATTTTAATGACACAATGGTGATAGGATTCAAGTTTTTCTGGAGTAAATCCAATGCGGTTTTACCAGTTTAATGCTAAAGGTATTCTCTGTATAACATGAACGGTCCTCCAAGACGCTTTGTTTATTGGGTATTCTCTTAAGAGACGATTTCTCAAATCGACTTCTATGATTGGTGACCTACACACTCATACTCATACTTGGCAAAAGAAACTGGTGGTGAGAACAATGTCAGGTTTAGAAGAAAGATTGTCATAATTATGGCACACGAAGAAGGAAGAAATGATAGAAAAAAGTATGTACACAAACTTTCTTTTCAAAGAGATGGAAAAAATTCTGATTGTGATTGCTTTCTAGATGTCGTGTAATTATACTACATTTCGAACAAACAAATACCATTTGCTGGAAAAAAAAAAATATATACAATTTGGATGACATCAACCTGCCAACCGTAACAGATTTTCGAATTTCTAATTTAATTTGCCTACCTTTCAGATTTAGTGCTATTTTATCAATGTTGAATTTATCATTCCTAATAAGGAAGAGGTACCGTTCACACCACATGCCTGACGGAATCACCATTTATCTGGCTGACGGGTTGGGAATGACAAACCCAGCCCTACTCCGTCCCGTTCTCATACCTTCTCGCCAAACAGACAACATTTTCTGATTCCATTAGAGATAAATAAAATAAAATAAAAGATGAGAGAATTGAGGAATGAATCAACACTTATTTAGCCAACTGACAAAAGAATATATATCTGATATTAAAAAAATATAAAAAAGATAAAAACAGAAACGATACCCGAGAACGGTTATCTCCACTACTACACAGACAAGACAACAGCAGAAAACCAGCCAAGGCAATGCACCTATATAACTCTCTAGTGACCCCTTGAGAAACCAGGAGAGTTACAAAGGGGGGCGGATAAAAATACATCACATGGGGGGCCACATAAAATTACACCACTTTTGTTTTGAAATACAACCTTCTATACCAAATATTGGTCTAGATGTGAATTGTGATAGAATTTTATAGTAAAAACCCAGCTTGGCATTGTCAATCTTATCGACCTCAAATCAAACATGTATTGATTATTCCGTGAATTTCATCGGTAGCCACCGCCATATGGCTGTTGAGGATAACCACCTGCCCCATCATGGGGTTATAACCGGCAGGCACGTTTGACCCAGGAGGCAATCCAGTTGGGCCCTTGCATCCCCACGCCCATATTCATTCCCATTCCCATGTTCCCCATCCCATCCCCATCCCAATTCCCATCCCATGGGTTGATTCATGCCTCCGTAGCCACCCATGCCCATGCCTCCACCCGGACCGCCACCCATACCCATACCCATACCCATAGCTGGACCTGGGACCTGGACCCATACCATGCCCATACCAGAACCTATCATAGGGTTTGGTTGACCCTAAGAACACTTGCACCTGCACGGCCAATACCAGAACCAGATCCCATAGCTTTACCCATGGTAAACAGTAGATGCTGCAGGAGTTGCTGGCTGCTTCTCCATCCTCTTTTCTTTCCGGTTAATGGAATCAAATCAATTCCAATATCATTCAACGGATTAATTTTAGCTGCAGATAAAAAATAACAAAAGCCGTTACAAGACCCACAAAAAACATAGACAGTCAATAAACAAGTTGAAGAGGCTTGTCCTCCTGCCAAAAGAGGAAAAAACCAGGCACATATGGCACTCACCTCCGGATATATTAAAATTAACTAGTCCTCTGCTCAGTGTATCAGCCCAAACTGCTGACTTGGGCTCAAACTTGTCTTTAGGTGGTTGAGCAACTATAGAAAGTGCCCCTGTTGAAGATGGCAGTGCTTGATGTGAACCCATTGAAGTGTTTGGCCCTGTTTGTGGAAAAAGGTTTCCAAGAACATCACTGTTGTGCTGCAAACCTGGTCCAGTTGGAGCTTGATGAACAGCCTGCGAAGCTACTGGGCCGACAGAACCCTGTTGTGGATGAAAGTTCCCACCATTAAGCTGTGCAGCTGGTCCAGTATGAGTTTGAGGGAGCCATGTACAAGGTGATGGGGAGCCGTAGAACCTCCCTGTTGTGGGAAGAAGTTTCCGCTATTGGGAGCGGAAATCCACCTTGTTGTGAAATGAATTCCCACTGTTTAAACTGTGCAATTGGTCTGTCGGAGTTGGGGGAGCCACATGTGAAGTGATGGGAGCTGTAGGTCCTCCCTGTGGGGGAAAAAAACCCCCACTGCTGTTTTGTCCAGCAAATCCAGTTTGATTATGAGGCACAATAGCTCCAGGCTGCGCATGAAAATTCCCATACATATTAGCATTTGGCTGTGAAGGTTGACCTGTTGGAACTGAAAAGGGTGGCAGTGAAGTCATGACAGGTGAAGGGTCCAGGAGGGGGGAGAATATCCGCAAGAATATCAGTGTTGTGGTTCAGCAGACTGCTCTTGAGGCAAAAATTGTGAGTTTGTTGGAGGAGTTTGAACACTGGAAACCCCAGGTGCCGAATAAGTTACGGCAGAAAATGAGTCCCCAAAGGGAAAGTTAGCTGCACTCTGGTTCATGGTTGGAGGGAAAGAGTCTGTGGGCGTGGAAGTCTGTGGGCTGAGGTTGGACAGTCTCACTGGAAGGGAGAGCTCTGAAGGGGGAGTCGCCAAATGGATCATCAAATGACTGCATCAAAGGAGAACACTCTTAATCCAATAATTATAATTGGCTATACAATTTTGTCCCCAAAGTTTAGGCGGAAATACTTGACTTGCAGTTATAAAGGACTTGATTGGAAAAATTAAAACTAGGGGACTTAAGTGGAAAACACCCTCAAACTACAAGGGCCAAAGTTTAATGTAGCCATTTTAATTCCATGGAAATGACAAAAACATAGATGAAGATACAGCAGAGAAAGCGGGGGTCACAGTTCTCTAATGTCAACTACTCTGAACATGTTAGCTATTGAACCATTATTAATATGAGATGCGATGAGAAAGAACTTTTAATATTTCAAAATTTTCAAATTATAAATTCCGTTCCTATAATTGTAGAGAGAAGCCTTTTACATACCAATATTACATTTTACCTTTTACTCATATACTAAATGATCCATATATTTATTCCTAAGGAAGATAACCCATTTAAAAACAAACAGAATAATGAATGTGTCCAGGGGAAATTGTTGTGTGATATGCACAATAACCTGTAAAAGTGGGTCATAAAGGAGACATATTACTCTTACCAAAAAATGGACATGTTAAATACATCCAAGAATCAAATCGAAAGATCTCCTAACGATTATCTATCATAATCAACTCAAGAAGTATGGCCCTTCAAATTTTTTATGACATAAAAAATGCCTACCTGGCTCATAACATTAGAAGCTGATGGAGTTGCCACAAATGTGGTCGCAGAACCAGAGTTTGCATGGGCATCAGGTTCAAATGTAGTGGTAGGAGATGTAGTTGGCACAATGGCCAATGCATTTGAAGAGAGGAGTTGATAGGGAGCCGAGTAAGTCAATCTCAACATTGTTTGAGGTAGCTGGGCAGCTGAAGCAGCTTGGGCAGTTTGGGCAGCTGGGGCAGCTTGGGCAGTTTGGGCAGCTGCTAAAGGAAAGACAATGAGTTTTTCATAGTGCTGCATTTTTTTCTTACTGTAAACAAAATAATATACCTAAAGGGCCACAAAACAACTATATCAAAACGAAACCTGCTTGCAAAGGAAACCAAATAGTTAAAGATCTGGTTCTATATTCAGGAAACCAACATAAAAACACTGTTGTTACACAAAATCTTGGTTCTCTATAACACATCCAAAACTAACTATACCTTTGCCTAAACAGTATTATGATGTTGAACACAACTGGTAAAATAGCTCCAAGCCTGAGAATATGATCAACTACGAAGAAAAAAAAAAAAAAAAAAAAAAAAAAAAAAAAAAAAAAAAAAAAAAAAAAAAAAAAAAAAAAAAAAAAAAAAAAAAAAAAAAAAAAAAAAAAAAAAAAAAAAAAAAAAAAAAAAAAAAAAAAAAAAAAAAAAAAAAAAAAAAAAAAAAAAAAAAAAAAAAAAAAAAAAAAAAAAAAAAAAAAAAAAAAAAAAAAAAAAAAAAAAAAAAAAAAAAAAAAAAAAAAAAAAAAAAAAAAAAAAAAAAAAAAAAAAAAAAAAAAAAAAAAAAAAAAAAAAAAAAAAAAAAAAAAAAAAAAAAAAAAAAAAAAAAAAAAAAAAAAAAAAAAAAAAAAAAAAAAAAAAAAAAAAAAAAAAAAAAAAAAAAAAAAAAAAAAAAAAAAAAAAAAAAACCGCAATTTGTTTGTAGAAATCAAAATCCATAACTTCTCCGGTTGTTGCTTTGACCACCAACATGGGAAGTTTCTCAAGTCTGCAATACACATCCACATTTCAAGTGTCATCAAATAGAACTTTGTAGCTGAAGAATGATTTGTGGGATGGAAAAAAAAAATCATTTTGCAGATAAGATATTATGCATATCTACACAATCATATAGACCAAGCTACGAGTACCAATAACGAAGCAGAAAGTTGCTAATTAAATTTTTGGGATGAATGAACACTTTTCGTATGGCGTATGTAGTTTTTATACTACTTGAATAATTGATACCCATGTCAATCTTTTCAGTTGAACAAAACCATTTGGTTTATGTAACATTACAGTATGATAATATTTTTTTTTTTTTTTTAAAAGGCTAGAAAGTACACCTCCAATCTTCCACAAAAAGATCTAATTGCGACTTTCGATTTACACGTACTTTCATTAGAAGGACAAAAAAACATTACAAAACAGGGGACAATTAACACAACCTCAAAACAGAGATTAACATCCTAACAATACATGAACGAAATTTAAACAGAGTGGGGCTGAACAATGATGAATATATATAAAAAAATAAATATGTGCAGGGAGAGATGATCTGGGAAGAAGCATTCGATGCAACTGCAAAGGTTAATTGGTGCAAAATTGATGGCAAATTTGGGTCAATTGACATAAAAATTGGTTAAAATGTGTATTTCGGTTTATTTGGATAGTGAATTTCAGTTTTTGTATTAAATTAGAAGAAAAGCAGTTTAAAGCGGTATTTGAAGTACATACCTGACCAGAGTTTGTTTGTCTCTATGGTGAGAGAGAGAGGGTGTATCATCAATGATGACTTCATCATTTATCCGGATGCAAGGAATGTGAGATATGCTGGCCCAATGATCTTGTCCCGTCTATTCTGATACCTTTTCTCCAGGCAGACAAATTGTTGATTCTCAGATAAGAAAGAGATGGCGTAGACCCTCTTCTGGCAGGAATTGGAGACTCGGACAGTCATAAATATAGATTGTTTTGGAGAGAAGTGGGTGTTGAAGGGCCTCTCCTGGCAGGAATTCCAAACTTTACACGCAGTAAATAGATAGACTTCGAAGAAAGTAAGGTGTGCAAGTCCCTTTCCATCCAAAGATTTCAGAGTTGTTAATGAATCTCGATGCTGAGAGCGTGAAGAGTGGTAGGGAGCAGCTGTTGCTTGAGCAACGTCTCCAAGATTTCATCACTTCCCCTGCCACCAATTGAAAATTCTTCAAGGGAGACAAGTGCTTGCAAACCCCAGTTACAGTAGTCTCCCACTGATGAAGATGAAGCCCTCAGTCTCTCACAATTCTCAATGCTAAAATATCGGAGGTTGGGGAGGCAAACCCCCATCTTCTGCAATTGACTCCAGATTTGGAAGATCCCTTATTTCCAAATTTCAAGGGCTGTGAGTGTGTGAATGCTTCAGGTAATGACCTCAACTTGTCGCATCCTTACTTGCAGCAAGTCAGTTTGGGGGTGGGCAATCCTCCCTGGGGAAAACACACCAGATTTGGACAGCCATCGATATTTAATGATTGAGATGACTGAGAACCACTCCTTCTTCTTCAATCAAGCAAAGCAATTCCAGATTCTCACAATTCTCATATTAAGTGTCGTCAATTCGGAAAAATGCCCAAGGGGAAGGACCTCATTGAATCACAACTATTCCCTATGCTCAAATAATGGAGCGATGTTAATTGGCCAACATCTCTGAGTAGGAATTCTAATCTCCTACATCTGTATATGGTAAGTGAAGTCAACGAAGTGGGTAGGCCATCTTCAGGAACGACGATAGGGTTGGACAATTCGAGAGACTCAAACTTTCAAGGCGATTGATGTTGGGCAAGCACTGTATGTCATTAAATGTCCAATGTCAAGGTCGGACAGGAGCTTTGTCTCTAGTAATGATAACAGACCTGTTTGGCATCCATCTTCTATTTCCAATTCTTCAAGAGAATTGTAGTTGAGACTAGTACTAGTACTAGTAGTAGCAGTGGCCCTTTGATCATGTAAAACCCCACACCCTTTCACGCTAAGCTTCTTCAAGCAAGGCAGATCACAAGGCAAGCTTCCTCTTAGCTTTGGACACTTTACAAGAATCAGCTCCTGGAGACGAGGAAAGTCTGGACCTCCACTTCCACTTGGTACCCATTCCTCCCACTCTGCCATCTCCCCAAACTCCAGCTTCTCCAGTGATTGAAATGGCCGAATGGCTGACCATACAACTCAGGACCTATCGTCCTAAGAAATTTCATCTCACATATGAAGAGCTCCTTAAGAGCAGGTAGCTGTCCAAGCGGTGGCAACTCGAAGCAATAATGACAGCCTACAAGGCGCATAACTTTTATTTTATTGAAGGCAGAGTCTCCCAACCAGTTTGGGAAGCTGGTCCCGCCATAAAGTGTGACGGTCAATTTCTCCAAATTCATGCAAGGTTGGAGCTTGTCAAGTACATCTCTCACCTTTCCGGAATGATCGGCATCTTTGGAGCCCCATGCCAACTCTAACTCCTTAAGATCTTTCTTGTTCTTCAAATTGGCTTGCAAGGCATCCGTACCGTCAACAACATTATTAAGCTTCAAAATAGAAAGCTTTCCTCCAAGATCAGACAACTCCCTCAATTCTCCAATAGTCGACCCAGTAGATTTCCCCACAACAAAAGTAGTCAATATTCTCAAACTTTTTAGTCTACCCATTTGCACCGGCATCTCTTCAATTTGAGTTCCGCTACAATCAAGATGCCTCAAGTTAATCAATTTTCTCATGTCTGTAGGCAGTTCAAAAGAGACCGACAACCTGACAATAGTAATGTATGTAGACTGTAGATAGTGCAAACTATAGCAGGCAACCTTTTGATTGCGGTTTCAAAGAGATCCAAGTAGCGCAAATGAATGAGTTTACCAATAGAATCAGGTAACTCAATGATATTACCATAGTTTGACAATGTTAGCACTCGTAAACATGTTAAGTTGGCAATAACTCATGTAAAACCCTTTTACTGACACAATTTGGATACCCTTCTCTTCTTAGAGGTAGGAAGGTTCGCAAATGCTTAACCGCATATAATGGCTCAAATTTCGCCGCACAATCAAATTGCCCTCTAGCAAACGACAAATGCCGAACTCTTTTCAAAACTTCATGGGATTCGCCCCCTTCCCATCTTAGGTAGGATCCCCTAGACACAGACATAGCTAAGTCATTGATGAGATCATGCATTGTGAACAGTGTTTTCTCATATCTTGATCTTTGAAAAATGATCGTGATAATAAGTCATCAAAGTATTTCTTAGTGAGCTCTTCCATTCTTTTCTCACTCTCAGCTTGTGGAATTAAACTTTCTGCCACCCAAAGTAGAACAATATCTTCCTTTCGGAATTCATAGCCCTTCGGAAAAATTGAGCAATAAGCAAAACATCGTTTTAAATGAGTTGGGAGATAATGGTAACTCAATCTTAGAGCTGGAATTGTATTACATTTTTCAGGAGGCAGCTCCCAAATATTGCTGTTTAGTATGCTATTCCATTCCTCATAATTTGTGTTGAAACGCAAGAGGCCTCCAAGTGTTTCTGCAGCTAAAGGTAAACCATTGCACTTAGTAGCAATTTTCTTACCAACTTCTTCCAGGTCCAGACGTGCACTCGAGTTTCCATTTTCAAAGGCATGTTTTGAAAGTAACAACCAACAATCCTCATCGGACAGCTGTTCCAAAAAGTGAATCGGAACAGTGCGTATGCGGGCTGCAACACTTTCATTACGTGTTGTCACAATGACCCAACTTCCACTTGCCCCGGATGCAAAAGGACGTTGCAAGACACTCAAATCACCATAGTTCTCATTCCAAAGGTCATCCAACACAAATAAAAATTTCTTGCCCTTTATTTGTTGTCCTAGCTCAACTTGAAGAAAACTCAGGTCTTTATTATCGTAAGCTTTTGAACTGACTGACTCAAGTAGAGTTTTAGTTACCCTAGTAACATCGAAATCTTCCGAAACATAAGCCCAAGTTCTAAGATTAAAATGCTCTTTCACTTTGTCATCATTATAAAGGAGCTGAGCGAGGGTTGTCTTGCCAACCCCACCCATTCCCACTATGGTGATGACAGATACATCCTTGTTGCTTGCTTCATCAGATAACAAGAGGTTCATCAGGTTTTCTTTATCTCCATCCCTACCGTACACACAAGATTCATCCACCAAGGAAGTTGTTGGAGTTCTTTGAGAAACCTTCCCCCCAACAACACCTTCTCTGAGGCCAAGCACATCCTTTTGTTTAGCGAGGTGTTCTAATCTATCAAACAACTCTTGAATCCTACCATTCATGCCTTGATAAAAAGGATTAAGAGAAGTAGAGAGGAAGTTCCACACCTGAGTTTTGACGGTTCGATATTCAGCTTCCACCTTGCATCGCAGAACTTCAGCATTTATCTCATCCAGAAGGTCATCCGCATCAAAGACAGTATCTTGAAGTTTATCAAGCCACTCTTTCACGTAGCTGTTCAGGAATTGCTTCTCCTCCGCGTCATTAAGCACCGCATTAAGGCTCAACAACGTTATCTCCAGTTTCGTCACAAGCGACTCGTCCAGTTTCTTTCTCCGGAACAAGTCCACGAACTCGCTGGAACCAATCTTGTCAAACAGCACCTGCACGGAGGCAGATAGAATAGCCTCTCCAACCAAAGCCATGTTTCGATTCTTTGCAAAGGATTTGGACTTGAGTTAAGATTTGTAGCAAGTTTTGCAGCAAAGGATTTGGCTGTTGAGAAGTTAAGATTTATGTTGCTCTCAGTATCATTGACTTGGGAGTCTTCGAGTGAGAATATTATTGCAAAAGGACAAGCGCGTTTGTAATAACGTGGGGAACCCACACGGTTAGACTCGTCATACAGCTGTCGTCCATTACTGTGTTAGAATATTTTTGGTAAATAAAGCTTTTATTTTTTGAGTGGTCATAGTTTTATTTTTTTAGTGTCGGCAGACTTATTGTGGTAGAAGATTTTTTATTTTTATTTTTATTGGTTCTTCTATTTATTTATATTTTTTATGTGTCGGTGGGCTTTATCAAAAGTGATTGTAGCAAGCTGGTTATTATGATGGGGAATTTATAAATTGACATATGGATGAAATATCAGGAATTTGTAAATTGGTATGAAATTGCATTCTCGATAAATTATGGGAGTATAATTTAGGGAGGAATTGAAAAAAACCACATCTAACCATTCTCCATATACAGCTCTTCTCCTCAATAGGAGAAATTATAGAATGATACGGTATCAATACATCAGATAGTGATACTATATCATTCTATAATTTCTCCTAAAATGGGGAGACTTTTACAAGTTCCTAAATATAAAGAGAGAAAAAGAATTCTTAGAGACTCCTTGTAATTAAATACTTTTACATTTAATATTATTTGAAGCATTTATTTAATACCAACTATTTTTTATTATTGCTTTTGTGTCTACACTTTATTCAAAATTTGAAATAAAGAAATATTAAAAACATTTATAACTCCTTAAAGTAGAAAGTATGATTAAAATAGCTTTCTAGTATTTTTAACTAAATTTTAATTAAAAAATAAAGAGCTTGATTGTTGATGCCCGATCCTTTTCAGCTTGATAGGGTATAATACTACGTGTCTTGATACCTGGCACAAGGCTAATTAAGAAATGAGATGATTAAGCTAATTATATCTGCTCTAAGCTAATTAAGATTACAAGATGAACTTCCTTTTGCTTCAAAAGGAAAAGATGAAGTTACAAATTCAAAATGGGGAAAACCACAAGGCTCCGCTACAGTGATAGCCCCAGTGCTTCAAAGACTATTTTAGAACTGTCATGGCTATAAAACCAGCACCTGGACTATTTTTAAAAACAGATGAAAAAACTCACGAGCCATAAAACTCACTCCGTAACATCCTCTACTTTCATAGCTAAAGAACGGAAAAAGGATTCCCTCATCAAACCCGGGTTGGGGAAAACGTTGACAGGAGAAGTCATCCTGTAAGTGACCGCGGCGGAATGCGAAAACATATGACAGAAACAAAACATTTTATCCACAACACAGACTTCTCTGCTTCCTCATTATTTCAGCTGTCCCTATTTACAAAAACGAGCTGTGAACTAGAAGGATACTGAAAAACACAGTTGTTTGGTTTTGGATTATCCTCAGCTGCTCTCTGAAGCTTTATCTGTAATATAGTAACATTTAAACATTAGACTTACAAGATATATTTATATGGCATAAATTGAAAAATAATAATCATGCAGTTTTTTGGTCAATGAAATACACCTCTAAGGACAAACAAATAAACAAAGGGAAGAAAGAAATAATTGAAATAACATCACAATTTCTTCTCTTCTTGGATAAATATTGTTTCATATCCAATTTAAGCATGCAGATGCTTCTTGTTTTCCATTTAAGCCACAACCAACATTCAGTTATGTTATTAACAGTTAATTCGTACGGCGGCACGAATCCATCTCGTGGATAGAAAATACAGTTCTTTGGCACAGTTTGTACCAAATTGTAATACAGGAGGAGGGCTACTAATGTTATAAATAAAAAAAACAAGAATTAAAGTAATAGTGCAGTGCTTCCAATGAAATCATAAAATGGAGTATGATTCACAACCTAACAGATAAGAAGAAACTAATTCCTCAGCAAGGATCTGACAATTTGTAATGAATCAATTGAATAAGAACATTCCTCAGCAAGGATTCACAAATTACAAAATCCCTCCCTCCCAGATATACATTGCTCCCATGAAACAGTAGGATGAAGGAAACTATGAGAAAAACATCTAAATCTGGAATGAAACTTGAAGGAGATTTTTATTTAATCAATTGTTTACTAATTAACCAATATAATGGGATATACTTAAGCGCATGACAGGTTTTCATCAATCAGGATGAATACAGTACATGTTGTTGACAGATACTGGTACTCCTTAGTACTGAATGAAATTTGACTGAACATATCTTTTATATTTTTGTTTACGAAGATGCAACAATGATTTATACTTTCATGCAGACTCACAGGAGCAAGTTCGGATCACATAGATTTAAAATGAATGTAGAATTGAGGGCAAATATTTGTTCTGGAAATGAATTCAATTCTGGACAGTTAGTCCCTAAAACTATAATCTTTCAATGCAGGACAAGAGGAAATTGAATTTTTATACAAACTTTAACAGGTTTAAGGTCACAATCCATGGCTGTCTTTAAGATAAAAGGATAAACAGAGGTTTACCTTCATGTGTTTTCTCATACTTCTGTTCCGCGTCAGATTTTGAAAAGCCCGTTCTAATAGCTACTTGAGTGCATTCTATGTTCATGCATATCTCAGCCCAACACAAAATACTGCTAAATTCAAGGATGAGGAAATTAAGAATTGGAATGTTAGGTTGATCTTAGAATATCAGCAAATCAATTTCTCGCACTCACCAGCGTGCTTGAACTCCTGCACTTCCTTAAAGCCCATCCATGGCTTCACGCAGACTTTGGCTTTGTAAAGCTTCTTCTTTCCGGCATCGATGGCCTCGATCGTCAGATGGAGCAGAGTTCCAGCAACCACTTGATCCTCGATCGTCAGATGGAGCGAAGCAAGCGAGGTGTTCGGTTTTGAGGCTGTTCTGGGAGGCATGGGATTCGTGGACTCCGCCGAGAGTGGCCATGTTTTGGAGTTGGGAGGGATTTGATTCTTCTGCGAAGGATGAGAATGCAAGGAAAGGTAAGAAGACGAAGAGGTTGAGTTGCATAAACAGACGCAAGGAGGAAGAAGAAGATAATTTCGATTTCAATTTCGCCGGAGGACACTTGTAGGACGGATGGGAATTTATCTCTTTCGCTGCTCGGAGTCTTTTTGTATACGTGCACGTGTCGCTTTGAGTATCTATCTTTGCTTAGTAAGTAAGGGCCTATCCTATTTTGATCAAATTTTTTAAACTCAAAAACAGATTTGTCCCAAAAATCTGTTTGGTATGCCCATTTTTAAAAATCCAAACCCAAAAAAAATTCACAAACACCCCTATTATTTATAAAAATAAAATGGGTTAATGACCTAAATGGTCCCCCAACTATCGCTCGATTATCATTTTGGTCTGTCAATTAAAATTTTCAATTCAAACGTCCTTAAACTTTTTATATTGTACCAAAATCGTCCTTTCGTAATAGATACTGTCACTTTGAATCACGCGATGACCACGTGACTGAGTTTTGAAGGGTATATGCGACTTTTTGAAAAACCCTATCGCTCAAAACCAAAATCCCTCCAAAATACGTCCACTTTTTGAGAAGCCCTCTCATTTCCCGCAATAACCATTGAGTGGAAGGGATTCTAATGCGAGTTGCTGAATTGGTCGATGCTGTAGTAGTGTGCGAGTCTCTGAATTGGTGAAGTTAGTGTGTAATTTCAGTGTTAGTTTTGGAGTTCGAATTTGGGAGTTTGGGTTAGGGTTTGATTTTGGGGATTTTGGAGATTTTGGGAAATTCACTAGTTTCTGATAATGGAGTACAAATTCCGTTCGGGTGGAAAGACTCCCAAATACGGTAAGGGCTTCTATAATGCATTTTATGTTGTTTTTGTTTGGAAATGGATGAAATGGATGAGTTGTCCTCGTCTGGAACTGTGATTTCTTTATAAAGATTCTTTTTTCTGTGTTTGTGTTCGGCTTTTTGGTTGTTTTATGTTTAAAGTAAGGATAAAGGAATCGTTTTCTTGTATGTGGATGTGGATTGGATTTGGCTTTTGCTACATTGACTGTAGAGTGTAAGCTTTATGTCTGTGGTCCCTTGGTTATGGTTCCTGTATGTTGAATATGGTGTTTTTTTTAAAAATGGTTGTGGTCCCTTGGTTGTCCGGTTCACACCAAACTCAGTAATTGTTGCCTTTGTTGTCGTTAGCATTAACAACAAAACTATGACTTTAGAATAACATATTGTTGTTTCAATTTTGCAGCTAACAATGGAATGTGCACTCTAGAATCACTACAAGAAAACAGGTCTTTTGTGAAGACAAGTAGCCGTCACTTAAACATGTAAATTCGTCACAGTTGACAATATGTGACGCATTTTCGGCGTCACAAGGTTCGTCACCTATACCCCTTCACAGATTGTTTGACGTGACTAATATACGATTCGTCACATACGGGTTCTATATGTGATGAATGTTTTGTCACATATAGTACCTTTGCACAAGGCATCTTTCGTCACTTATTGTATCTATCGGTGACAAGCCGCATTGGTGACATTTCACAAGCGTCAGTGGGGAGTTGTTCCTCACATATTTATGAAAATTGTGGGGAGTTGTTCCTCATATATTTATGAAAATTGTGACAGTGTACGTCTCACATATAATCTGACCAGCATTCAATTCAATAAATTCAACTCGATTACTACCATTCCCCATTATATTCTTTTCTTGTATAATATAGCAAAATAATACATTCAAGATCCCCAAAGTTTCACAAGTAAATTGAACTCAAATTTCATTCCATTACACCAAAATAATTATGTTGTTTAATATACAATAGTCTTAACTACATGTTTTTTTTTCTTCTCATAACTACAATGTAATTTTTCTACAACTGAAATTAATGTTGTCCCAAGATGAAAAAGAGTTGAACCCAATTGCAAAAGATCCTCAATGACAACCAAAAAGAATGGATCTTTTTGGTTCAACTATCATAAAAAAATAAAATGGTCATAAAAATGGATATAGAAGATATAAAAGGGCAAATTACCATTGGGGAAGAACATCAAGCTGTTTAATAGAGAGATAAAAGGCTAAATTACCATTGGGGAAGAACATCTTATTTATGGCTGGGAAGCTACACACTGCCAAAAAATATAAAACCTAATACAACATTATTAACATTAAAGTGAGAAGACAAATAGAATTAATGTTTGATGTCTAAGAAGTGACCATGGTGAGGAAAATGAAAGGATGAAAAACAGAATCCATCAAAGGATTAAATGTCAAGAAGCATGAAAAAATAAAAATCACACTCCTAAAAATGAAGGTGTACATACAAAGCATAAAAAGCTACAAAAGAATCTTTCCTGTGGTATATAGGCAGAAAATATGGCCTCCATATAACAAAAATATGTATCACCTCTTTGTATGAAGAGGATCTTTCTTCCTTCCTACTTCTTTGTATTCTTAGCCATGTCTTTCAACATTCCATAAGCAGCTTCGCCACTAAAGAAGGAATGACATCATAAATCAGTGATCCGATTAGAGAAAAGCCACAGAGAGAGAGAGAGAGAGAGAGAGAGAGAGAGAGAGAGAGAGAGAGAGAGAGAGAGAGAGAGAGAGAGAGAGAGAGATGCAGATATAATACTTCAGAATTAACTATGAATAATTTAACCAGTTAAATCAACAGTCCTTAAGAGTCCTTAAGAGTTTCAAGTGAAAAATAAAACAGTCCTTAAGAGTTTTAAGAATTCAAATCATAAAACTACCATGGGAGAAAGGCACTGCAAGCTCGATGCTCTCAAGCAGCGCCTTTGATGATCTTCACCACTTTCACGAGCAAGCTTTGCATACTCTATGAACCAAACTCTCAATGATATGCGTGTAAGTGCCATCTGTATGTTCAAAGATTGGGTCAATAACCAAGACAAGAGTTGAAAAAAATAAAGTAATCAAAGAATTTACTTTGTATAGAAAGTAGAACAAATCGTCCACATCTGACTCATCCATTAATAGAATAAGATGTGCCACAAGTAGCATCAACCATTATAAATCGGAATTCATTGTCTGCCTAAAGATTTGTGATATTAAACACTAATTAGGCATATCAAATAACTCTCATTCTGCTCAGTGTATGCCAATAGCTTTTTTCAAGAGAAGGTAACTTGTGAATCACCTGACTATAGACGAACCTCGTTAGGGTTTGGCATCCAAGTATGCGCAGAGGATCATGCTTAGGGTTGTCCAGGAGCTCAGTAACCACACTCAGCAGACTGACTGCAAAATATGCCCTGAAAGATGCAAAACATATGCAATACAACACAAGAATTTTATGCAAAAATTAATTCCTTCTTTTTAACAACTTTAAAGACACTGCAGTGAAAAGAAAAGGAAGAGAGACAGAGAAGAAAATTTGAAGGACACAAAACAAACAATAATAAACCGAACTTTCTACTAAAATAGCATATATACAATACTAAAGCATCTCCTAAAATAGCACAAGTTCAATGCATAAGAAATATAAATGGTTCGTTGCCAAAATAAAATAGCACACAACTTCCACCTAAAAGTGGAATTGTGACTTGAATTTGGAATTTCCCAACCAATCATACAAAAGCCTTACCTAAACAACAGTAGTTTCGTCCAAGAGATTAAGCTTAAACAGATCTTTTCTCCACTAAAAATCACTAATAGACTTCTATAACAAATTAAATGGTAAGAAAAGAAAAGGGAAACAGCTAAGACTTACATCTGCTCTTTACACAGGCAAAGCAACTTGTTGTAAGCCTCTGCAACAATATTGATGAATTTGATGTGCTCCAGTCATAGCTCTTTGTAACACCTATCTTCAAGATATTTGGCAATCTGTTGAAAAAACAGGAGCATGGGCAGAATTACCAAATGAAGATATAGGGGCACATTTCACTATTGATAATGAAAGGGCAGAATTGCCAAATGAAGATATAGGGGCACATGTGACAATTGATAATGAAGGGGCAGAATTGCCAAATGAAGATGAAGATGCAGATTCAAAAATTAAAGACAGTAATTATGAGTTCAGTGAAAATGAGGCAGAGGATAGGCCAACTGTTGGAGAGAATGTAGCAGATGAGGGGACTAGTCATGGTGCTCCAGGAGAAGTGTCATCAGATGGTGCTGACACGTCAAAATTTGACAGTGGAAGTGAGACTGATTCTAAGGGTAATGGTAGAAAAAAGATAAAACTGCCAAAGTTTAAGCAGTATAGAAGAGATGTGGACTTGAAAAATCCCGAGTTTAGATTGGGAATGAAGTTTGCAAACAAAAAACTTCTGATAGAGGCTATCAAGGAGCTTGCAATTATAGAGGGTAGGAAAGTGAAATTGAAAAAAAACTGACAACAGACGAGTTCAGGCTAAATGTGTGAAAGGGTGTTCTTTCCAGGTATATGGATCAAAGATTAATAGAGAGGAAGGGACATTTGCTATAAAAACTTTGAGCCTAGAACATCAGTGTGGAAGAGTGGACAAGCTTAGGCATACTACATCAAAATGGCTTTGTGACTGATATGCAAACAAGCTGAGGCGCAACTCAGACTTTGATATGAAATCATTTCAACAAGATGTGTTGGAAGATTACAAAATTAATGTCACCAAACTTCAAGTTTGTAGGGCAAAGAAGCTAGCCAGAGATTTAAATGAAGGTACTTTCAAAGAACAATATGCTAGATTGTGGGATTATGCAGAAGAATTAAAAACTACAAACAAGGGTAGTACAATGAAGATTAAAACTCAGATTGTGAATGGTGAGACAGTGTTTCAAAGGATATATGTGTGCTTGGCTGCCTGTAAGAAGGGATTTTTATAAGGTTGCAGACCTGTTATTGGTGTTGATGGTTGCCATTTGAAAGGGCCTTATCCTGGACAGATCTTGATGGCTATTGGGGTGGATGGGAACAATGGTTATTTCCCAGTAGCTTATGCAGTGGTTGATATTTAGAGTAAAAACTCTTGGATTTGGTTTTTCAATCTTCTTATTGAAGATTTAGGGATTACAAATGGACAAGCTTGGGTAGTGATTATTGACAAACAAAAGGGACTTCTACCTGCCATTGAGAGAGTACTTCCATCTGTAGAGCATAGGATGTGTGTGAGACACTTGTACAGTAACTTTAAGGCATCACATATTGGTCTTGCTTTGAAACATATATTATGGGCTGCAGCAAGAGCTACAACTGTGCCTTGGTGGGAGGCAGAAATGGAGAAGATGAAAAATGAGGATGAGGAAGCATGGAAGTGGTTGAAGTAGATACCTACAAAAAATTGGAGCAAATCTCACTTCGGATCACATTTTAAATGTGATCTTTTGTTGAATAATCTATGTGAAAGTTTCAATGCAGCCATACTAGATGCAAGGGATAAGACAATTTTGAGTTTCTTGGAGAGGATAAGGGTGTATGTGATGCTTAGGATGGCTAGTAGGAGGTCTGCATGTCAGAATTGGAGATACTCTGTTGGGCCTAGGATCTTCAAGATAATTGAGAAGAACAAGCTAGGTTCATCACAATGCATTCCTAGATTGGTTGGTGAGAAATTGTATCAAGTGAGCCACATTTATGGTGGAGAATTTGTTGTAGACCTTAGAGCAAAGACATGCTCTTGTAGGAGGTGGAATTTATGTGGAATACCATGTCCCCATGCAATCTCAGCAATAGATGTGAAAACCCAATTGCTTATGTGGATGGTTGTTATAAGCTGGAGACTTATATGAAGGCTTATGAATAAGTGATTCACTAAATCCCTTCAATGGACCAATTGAGTAAATGTGGCCTTCCTCCAATTAAACCTCCACTTTATAAGCAACAACCAGGTAGGCCTAAAAGAGTTAGGACGAAGGAGCTTGGTGAGGTTGAAATACCAGCCCCCATCCCACCAAACCCTATGCCTCCAAATTATCTTGCCTCACTAGCCAAGCTTAGAAGGGTTTTCATTGAAATAAGATGTTGTGGATGTGGTCAAAAAGGCCATAATAGAGAAACATGTGACAGACAAAACAATGAAAACCAACAGGTATGACTGTGAGACACCTTGTTTAGTTCTATGTTATGGCGTACTTACATTAATAATTTTGTTATACATTTGCAGGTTCATGCATCTTCAACCCAAATGGAGCAAGGTTTTTCTTCTAACACAATAAGAGGGAGAGACATAAGCAGAGGGAGAGGCATAAGTAGAGGAAGAGGAAATGTTGCTCAAGCTACTGCTGACCCTAATTCTCTACAAAGTGTAAGCTTTGGTTGTTCTTGTGGTTTTAAATTGCAAAAGTCATTAGGAAGCTGAAATCATTTATTTTTTTTAGATGGCAAGAGGTAATAGAGAAGGAGGCAGAGGCATAAGTAGAGGAAGAGGCAATGTTGCTTAAGGCCCTATTTACCCAAATTCACAAGAAAGTGTAAGATTTATTTTATCTTTTTTTTTCAATTTTTTATTGCTTATGTCATTGGAAAACAATAAAGATCAGTAACTTTTCCAGGTGACAAGAAGTAATGGACAAAGAGTCTTATCATCTTCACATATTGGTTTAGGAAGAGGTTTACCATCTTCAAAGCTAAGTGCAATTAGAGGAAGAGTCTTAGGAAGAGGCATAAGTGGAGGAAGAGGCTTAGGAAGAGGCTTAGGAAGAGGCTTACCATCTTCACGATCAACTGTAGGTTTTTGTCATTTGGTTCATTTCTTACTCATTTCACTAATTGCCAATTTTTCAATTGTTATACACCTGATATTACTACATTGTTTAGGTGGCAAGAGGAAGGGGACAAGGAGGACCAGCTTTGGACAACATTTCCCATGATAATAACATGGCCTCAATATAGGGGAAATTCTTACTAAGGTTGTCCTATTTTGTGTATTTTGGGATATGTAATTTTCTGGCCAGAGGGATTTTGTGACAAAAGGGACTGATTCTGACTTTTGACTGTGTAATTGGTTTTGAGTTTGAAGGGCTAAAACTCTGTAATTTCTTGGCTATTTTAGGTTAGGTACTTTTTTGGGCAGGAGGATTTTGTGTAGTTTGTGTAATTGGTTTTGAGCTAGAATAGCTCAAACTGTGTAATTGGTTGTCTGTTTTGGCTTATGTACTTTGCTAGGCAGGTGCATTTTGTAATTGGAATTCTGTAATTGGTCTAACTGGTCTTCAGTTTCATCGGCTCAAACTCTGTAATTGGAATTTGAATGTTTATATGGATGTTCATTTTGTAAATTGCATGTGTGGTCAACAATGGAATGACTTTTACTTTCTTGTACTCAATGGAATGGCATCTCCCAGATATTCAAATAACCTCAATTCAAGAACATTTCAGAACACTAATGCACATTCAAGGGACACTAATGCACATTTCAAAATACTAATGCACATTTCAGAACCATTACATTCAAAAGGAACAAACCCCATAACAATTACAACTTCCCACTCATCAGAAATGTTATAAACAAACCCCAAGAAAAAAAATCAAGGAAACCCACATTATCAACTGTCTTTGCCCATGACCCCATTCCAAAACCCTTTTTTCTTGAACCATTTCTTTCAATTTCTGCTGTAGTTCTTTCTTTTTTGCTTCCACAGCTCTCAATTGTTCTTCCTTTGCTCTACCTTCCTCCTCCATTGCTCTAAGTCTTCTAAGCAAACCAGGGACCACTTGTTTTCCTCTTGGACAAGTTTCATTATCCACCCACTCGAAATAATGCATACCTCTTCTGTTATTCTGGCAAATCAAATCTTACCAAATTTCAGACCTCATCAACCAATTACAAATGGAAAAGAACAACTTTTGCAACCCAAATAATAACTTACCCAATTTTTATCACAAGCATCGAACCTTCTTCCCGGGCTCAACTCTGTCAACGAAGTCCGACGAATTATCTTCGTCCCACAGGCGCAGTACTGGCTCGTCCCACTTGATGTCGTTGACATCTCTGACGTTGAAATCTCTGACATTGCAAACCTAGGGTTCTAATTTGGGGGTTTTGGTGGAGCTTCTAACAGAAATGGGAGGGAATGCGATACTACAGTGGCCAAGTCGTTTTAGAAGAGGATACTCACTTAAAAATACGGTTTTGTCCATCGATTTAATGGAATAATACACATACTTTGATGGAAGGACGATTTTGGTACAATATAAAAAGTTTATGGACGTTTGAGTTGAAAATTTTAGTTGATGGACCAAAATGATAATCTAGCGATAGTTGAGGGATCATTTAGGTCATTAACCCAAATAAAATTTTAAAAAAAGGTTCTAGAATTTTTTTTCTCTCTCTCCTCCCTCTCTAGATCTGTTGTGTTCTCTTTGTCCTCTCTCCTCCCTCTCTATCACCCTCTTTCTCTCTCTCCTCCCTCTGTCGTCTCTCTCTCTCTCTCTCTCTCTCTCTCTCTCCTCTCTCTCTCTCTCTCTCTCTCTCTCTTTTGCACACCACCAAAATTGATTGGGTTTATGCCTCACATATTTTTTCTTTTTCTTTGTTAATTTCATTTTGGGAATTAGTTTATGATTTTCTTATTTTAATTTCAATTTTTTTTAGATCTTAAAAATAGTTTGGAGTTCTATACCAAACAAGTTTTTAGATCTTAAAATCACTATTTGAAAACTCATGTTTTTAAAAAGAATCACAATTTTTTAGTTTATTTTTTATTTTTTATTTTTGAATAGGATACCAAACAGGGCCTAAACTTTTGTTTTCTTTTTTTCTTCTTTTCTTTTCAAGCTTTAATTTTAAGCGTAGTTTGTAAGCAAACAAAAAAAAAAAAAAACAAACCAACCACAAAAATGAAAAAAAAAAACTTATGACATGTTTAGGATCTGTTTGGTATCTTTGTTGAGGCCCAAAAAATCCATGGATTGGGCCCAAGCAATTATCAGCCCGATACAATATTCCATAAGGAAAAAGAAAGGAAAAAGGGTTTATCACATGCAAGTTATAATCCACATGCCGAGCTAAATAAACAAATTATTATGCTATGATCTGCGATAAAAATATGATTAACTCATGCTAAGATTAAAACAATTCTTCCCAAGGGCGATAAGGTAAAATATGCCAAGCAACATGCCATGCCGTTATCTCGCACCCAACCACGCTACAAGCCTAGGTGGGCCCAAGCCACTCAAAAACCCGGGGCTTGCTTGAGTGGGTTGTGGCATGGATGGTAATAAATCAACATGAGACCCATTGATGGACCAAGAAATGGAAAGTCTCGGGTTGCTTGGGAGCCTCGAGACTCAAGCCCGTTTCTTAGGCCCAAACATGTGGGTAAGCACAAGAGAGAAAAGTAGCCCAATACCCAAGCAAAACAACCCAACCAAAATAAAGCCCAAACTAAGAAGCCCAATGTTTAGTAAAAGCCCTTTTGCTTAGGAAATCACCTTGGCCCATATAAAAATCCTAAAATAGCCCACAAAAAAAACCTTAGCTTTTGGAGAAAGCAGAGGACACGTGAAGAGCAGATGGCAGACTCCTTAAGCAAAGCTGCTGGAAACCAGTCCCAAGCCAGAGACATCCAAAGAACCGATGAATACCATCCCGCATGCTGTCAGAAGCATCCCTTGGACCAGCATATATTTTCACCTCTTTTCCTTCATCAGATTCAGCCAAGGAAGAGGAAAGAAAAGAAGAAAAAACAGCAAACCAAGAGTGGAAGCTCTCATTGCACAGCCGCGGGAAAGGAGGATGTTGAGCCCCCAAATCCCCTGAATTCATGAAAATAGACAGAAGCAATCTTTGCCAAGAAAGGGAAGTCAGAGAAGGGGAGGAGAAAGGAAGAAAAGCTTAGCCAAAGTAAGTAGAAGCCATTAGGGTTTCTTGAAAAATGGTGATTTCCGGCAGCTATAAATTGAGCCTTCCCCTACCCAACAAAAACAACTCACAACCTGCAGAGAGCAAGCTTTTCTCTCTATCTTGCAAAACTCAGACTCGTGCATTGTTCATCTTCTTCTCCAATTTGTTTTTCTGGTAGCTGCCGGAAGAACCCTGCCTTTCTTTTTTTCTCTTTCTCTAGTCAAAATTCCTCACAAAACACCTCATTCCTTACTTAAACACTTTCATTTCTCATAAACCAAGCCTAATTTCTCTCTTAGTGCTAAACCCATGTTGGTTTTGCTCCCCATGCCTCATCCCACTCATGCTGAGCTGAAAGACCATCTGTAAGCATGCCAAAACTACCTGCAAGTCACCACTATTCTCGTTGGTGAAGATTATCCAAAATATCTCCTAAGGTTTTGCTGCCCTTTCGAGGTATTTTGGGGCTTAATTTTCGAACCTAAACAAAAAGGGGCAATCTCCTCAGTCTGCCTTTTGCAACAGCCTAGCCCATTTGCTGCTGGAAGAAAAAAGCCCCCACAATCTTATTTAGACCCAATTCTATAAATTGAAAAATAAAATTTAAATCTAAAGCCACAAAAACCCATTTGGTAGGCCCATTTTTAAAAACCCCCATTAAAAAATAAAAAAAAAAAAAAAAAAAAAAAAAAAAAAAAAAATTAATTTTATAGTTTTTTTTCTCTCTCTCCTCCCTCTCTCCACGCTCTCTATCTCCTCCCTCTCTCGTCTCTCTCGTCTCTCTCTCTCTCTCTCTATAAATTTTTTTATGATGTGCATTGAGCATGTCTAAAATTTTTAAAAAGAAAAAAAGAAGAATTTGTGGACTTGGTCTGGGTGGGCTGAGGGAATTTGTGTGTAGAAGGTAGGTGTGCCATAGCGCAGAGAGAAGGAGGAAGGGGTAGAGGGAAGGGGGAATGGAGGAAGGGGCTATAAAGAGGGAAGGGTGAATGGATTTCAAGGTGGACAAGGTTGGTTGGAGTTGCCGGAGGAACACAAGGGATGGGGGTAGGCGATTTTTTTTTCTTTCCAATTTTAATTGTTTAAAAGATATACAATTTGTGTTATAATGAATTTTCCATGTTTAAAATACCCAGAAAATGTAAAGACTAAAATACCCTTAAAATATATGGAAAATTGAATGGTGTTAAAGACAAATAATGGATTTTGAAAAATTAAGGTGACAAATTAAAATTGAGGCATAATCATATAGCATTTGTCTTAAAATTGTTGAGCATTAGCAAGCAAAACATATTCACTCATGGAAATAAGAAAGATAAGGTATAAAATAAAATCAGTGTCAATTTAGTTCCATGCACAACAATTTTAATTTTTAAGTGCAAATAAACTGTGACTGCGTGTTTATTTACTTGTTAACGCTAAATTCTTTTAAGAGAATGTTATGATCGGTTGTGCATGTAGAATTCTACTTTTAATATCCCAACTCCAAAGTGTCTTCTAATTTGCTTAAGTGGAGGCATACTATTGTGATTGTCATGCGAACAAGGAAGAGAAGGGTCATAACAATCTATAAAAACAGAACATGGAAATAATGATAACATGAGCAGCTCATCCCATAGCATAGACAACCTCAGAAGATTTCATATTGAACTTCAATGACCGTTTGCTTGTCAAAATTCTTGAAATGTATGGAAACATTGAATATATGTAACATTCGACGAATAAGCTATAATGTGTAGAGACAATGCTTTTGTTGGAAACAACAATCAGTATCAAACTGGCTGTCCTTGAAGGATTCATAGACAAAGCTATAATCTTTCAACAACTTGGCTGCATATGGCATTACATAGAAAGTAACTTTCAACAACTTCATAATCATCCGATAAAGTTTTCTTGCAAGAAACCCTAACGAAGATGTGCCCCCCAGGGTGTAACATCAGCTTATCTTGTTTGAGATGAAGAATTCTTCATCAACACAAAGAGAGCTTTTCCATGTGGTCAGATCAAATGAAGGCCGCCCCTCCAAACACAAATGAACTATCTGCAG